CAGGGCGAAACTCCACCCAAGCGCATATCGCCGATGCTTAAAAATAATTTAAAAAAGGCAGGCGAAAAGCGGAAGCCTCGGGCAGCTTTCGACCGGGGAACAGGAAGTGGCTCTACATCGGCGGAGGAGCGATCACACAGGGGGGAAATGTGGCTAGAACCGGAGCAGCAGGAAAACACCACTTGGGGAACTGGTAGCAGAATACTCCGGTTTAAAGGGGGTTTGGGACGGTTGGGGACGAGAGGCAGATGTTGGCTGTGTGATCACGCGTAAATAGTCTGTTTCTAACCGGCACGTATACCGGCTCAAATGGCCCATCTGAACGCGCCCAATGTTTATGTTCTGACACTAAGCATTTCAGCTTCCCCATTTTACCTTGGACACACAAAGTAATGGTAGCAGCTAGAGATAAAGGTGTGGATCCATTTGGATATAAACATGTATAATTTCCCAGACATGTTAGGCCTGCAGCCTTCCTCCTGTGGCCTCTAGACCTTGCCAGGCAGTTAATATTGTTTGTCACCCTCTCAGTGGCCTGACCTAATCCATTTCCTTGTAGAATAGTACCAGCTACCCCTTCATCTCTTTGAGATAAGCCACCCTGAACCAGAGATATTTAATCTCCTGTCAGCTTTCCCCCAAGATTTAGTTTAAAAACTGCTCTGCCACCTATTTGATTTTAAGCGCCAGCAGCCTGGTTCCTTCTCGGAACAAGTAGAGGCTGTCTCTTTAGGCCTGGCCTTCTGAAGTAAGGAGAGTAACAACCAGAGATAAGGATGTAGATCCAGTCTTAGGCTGGAGAAAATTTGTGCAGGGTAAGGAGCCTTCCTGCAACTTAAATGGCTTTTTCATTGGAAGAGCACTCCTTAGGCTGGACAAAGACTTCAAACTCTGCTCAGTGGAGTTGGATCCATGGTAGGATCCATGTCAGGGCTTTCTCTGTGATGTTACTTCTACTATGGAGTATCCTCCCACCCCTGATATGTGTCTCGTAGTGTTATCCATATGTTAATAAATAAATAACCCGTATTTCCTGTTGGCTCAAGGCAGCTAAAACTTTTAATTTTCCAGATGCCTAATAATGTTGTCATTTTTTAGCATAGCAACAAGGCTTATGGGAATATTTTGAGCCCAGAGTAGGAACATCAGCAAATAAAAGATTGCAACATATGCAAATTAAGAACTTTGTTATTGAAACTGCCAGAACCCAACATCAGAGAAGCTACTCATGATAATAGAGAAGTGGTTATATAACGCACCTGAACAAAAAGGGGTACACACTCTATAATACATAAATTACTACAAGAAAATGAAAATCCTAGGTACAACTTTAAAAAAAGTTAGGAAATAAATTTAAAAAGGAGTTGACACACAAGATTTGGATGTGTTTTTAAAAATGTATCTTGGCTTATCAGAAAATGGAGAAATTAGAGGAAAAAAGTGATTTGTAGCTGGTATTACATACTGAACAGGTTAGGAAAAATGTTTTCAAATGCCACAGGTTGGTGTAGGAGCTGTGGAAAACATTTTGTTTCCTCTTTCCACAGGCAGTGGGATTGTAATATTGTAAAAGACTTTTGAAATACAGTACAAAAAGGGATAAGAGATACTATAGAAAAATATATTTCTCTTACGCTATTATTGTGTCTCTTGGAGAATAATAATAATAATAATAATAATAAATTTAATTTATACCCTGCCCTATCCCACGAGTGGGCTCAGGGCAGCTTAGAACACAAAATTAATAAAACAACAGATGACACAATAATAATAGAGAGGACCTTTGCCTCATGTCAAGTGAATAAAAGCTCCAGTGCCCAAGTAGTGTTGTCTAAGCAGCATGGCCCTGGGAAGGGGCCATGAACAGGGGAGGCCAGAATTGTTGAACATCCACCACCTCAACCAAAAGCCTGGCGGAACAGCTCCGCTTTAAAGGCCCTGCAGAACTGTAATAGGTCCTACAGGGCCCTGATCTCGGGTGGGAGCATGTTTCACCAGGTTGCGGCAAGGGTCGAGGCTAAGCAAACGCCCCTTGGGCTGGGGATCACCAAGAGGTGCTGATTGGAAGGGGGTAAAGCTCCCCGGGGCTCATATGGGGAGAGGCAGTTACTTTTCCTCTGTTGTGCATGTGGCTAGAGGATTAGCAATCTCTGCAAACGCTGCTTTTGCAGCTGGAGGTGACAGATGGGAGAACAGGCTCCTTCTGATTAGCTCTCCCTGCAAGAAGTTGCAAGTGCTTCAGCAGGGTCTTTCTGAAGTCAGCTAAACATATAGTTCTCCTCAGCTCGCACTGGCCAATCAGAGAGAAGGGGGGAAAGGGAGCAGCCTGTCACTCAAGCTCTCCATTCCAGTGAAGAGTTAACTCTTCACCTCCCAGTTCTCTGAAATTGCTGCACTAGGAAACCTGTTGTTAAGTGCAGTCCATCACAGGGGGGCTTTTCAATGGCTCTTTTTGCACATCTGTGAAACAATTAATTATTGTCTGTTCTGGACCTACTGCCCATCAACTTCATTGGATGGCCTCAAGTTCTCTCGGAGAGAGGATTGCCCCCTGTGGCACTCTGCATTCAAGCAGGTAGCACGGGGACACCCTCTCTGTGAGCACCACCCTCTGTCCCCGACCGTGGAGAAAAGAGGACAGCCACCATAAAGCAGTCCCCTGTATCCCAACGTCAGCAAGGCAGTGGGTCAACAGATCGTACTCAACCGTGTCGAATGCTGCTGTCAGATCTAACAGCTACAGCAGTGCTGACCAACCTTGATCCAGGTGCCTCTGGAGGTGATCTGTGAGGGCAATCAGCGCATTCTCCATCCCATAACCGGGGCAGAAGCCAGACTGGAAAGGGTCCAGAATGGAAGCATCATCTAAGAAAGCCTGGAGCAGCTCAGCCACTGCCCTCTCAACTACGTTACTCAGACATGAAAGATTTGAGACTGGGTGGTAGTTGGCAAGGACTGCAGGGTCCAACGATGGTTTTTTGAGAAGCAGACATACCACAGCCTCCTTCAAACCCCTTGGGAATACCCCTGAAGAGACGGATAAATTGATAATCTTTCCCAAGGAGGCCTGAACCCCATCCCCGCAAGCTTTAACTAGCAAGGATGGGCACGGGTCAAGGGGGCATGTGGTAGGCCTTACAGCTGCCAGGATCTTATCTACTTCCTCACCAGAGAGCCAACTGAAGTGGTCCAAAACAGGACCTGAAGATGGACAAGGGGCTTCCAGTTCCTTACTGTACCAAGTGTGACAGGGAGGTCCTGGCGAAGTGACGAGACTTTATCTGCAAAATAGCTCACGAATGCCTCACAGCATATAATACAGAACAGTTACCTAAGAATTTATGATAGCTAACATTGCATCTTTTGGTTGTGGTAGAATGGTATTAGCTGTTAATAGGAAGCAGTGTATTTTACCAAGCTTGGAAATTTGGTTACAGAAAATATGGTTCATAATGATTATGGAGAAAATTTTCAGTGTTGAAACAGGATTATAGTAAGCATTATGCGCACTTGCACAGAACCTTTTGCTCAGAGCTGGATCTTGTTTATTGATATTTGAAATAAGTTTTCCTATGGAATCTGTAAAAAAGAATTGAATTTGATGTACTGTTTGGTATGGAAGTTGGTGTGATTATGTTAATCGGAAGGACACTAGGAAGGACTATAAGAAAGTTGGAAACAGGAAGTTTTGTATAGGTGCAGTTAAATTAATTTTGGAAGTTTATATTGGGATTATTGATTGTAATTTATGTAAATGTATGTATTTTTTAAAAAAATTCCATCCAATAAAAAAAATGCTGTCAGCTTACTTAAGAGTCTGTGTTGATGTGATTGATTACATCACTACTGTTGTGTTGGTCATAATCCTTCTACACAGTACAGTGACAATGTGCATACAAAGGATTTCTGTGGATGGAAAAGGTAGTGGTCATGGAGAACAGTTTGGAGTGAGTCAGCAGCATAATTTCCCAGTGGATCAGGATATGCTGTTCTGGCACTTGCTTAAGCACAGTATCTGCTCAAGGACTTAAAATGTGATACTTCCCATAGAAGTTAAACTTTGGAGCTGAACCAAAACAGCAGCCCCCCCCCCATTTGTAGTCTTTTGTTCAAGCTATGAAAAGTGGGCCCTCATTCCAGGTCAGGGATTCTCAGTGTGGTGTCCATGGGCCCCATGACACCCACTGACACTTTTTCTGGCACCTGCCAAGTGTTTTTAGAAAGCGGGAGAGGCCAGCTTCAAATTGGCTGAGCATATTTTTAAACATATTTCTTTGGGAGTAGCTGTCACCACAGCACAAGGATATTCGCTGAGAGACTAAAGGTAAGCTGTGTTTATATGCAAGAAGATACTTTAGAACAGTATGATAATTTTAAAAGACGTGTTTCAGAGCTTCTGTCTGTAATGTTGAAGAGTTAAGAACATAAGAGAAGCCAATGTTGGATCAGGCCAATGGCCCATCCAGTCCAACTCTCTGTCACACAGTGACCAAAAATACCAGGTGCCATCAGGAGGTCCATCAGGGGCCAGGAACTAGAAGCTCTCCCACTGTTGCCTCCCCCCAAAGCACCAAGAATACAGAGCATCACTTGCCCCAGAGTTCCTATCTATACCTTGTATAGATGGACCTCTGCTCCATATGTTTATCTAGTTATTATTAGAGTTCTGCATAACCCCACTCCCTGACATTTTGTGGCTGGCGTTGCCTCCTGCAGGAGCCATTTGTGGTTGTGCCCACCACCCTGTGACAATTCCAGAGTGGCTCACAGGCCCAGAAAGATTGGGGACCTCTGCTTTAGGTGATTTGTTTGGGGAGACCTGTGAACTAGGGGCAAAATATCTGTTCATTTTACCAGAAGCAGGTTCCAGGAGATGGAGTCTTAGGTGGGGAGCCGTTTGCACTGCCTAGGTTGGAGGCTAGCTTTGCAGGAGGTAGAGCCACAATTGAATTGTTTGAATGACTTTGTTGAATGTTGTTGTTGTTGTTGTTTGCACACAGGCCATTTTGCAGCCAGTATTGGCAGCAGAAGATTTCAGATTGTTTAAAGAAATGATGGTCCAGAAAAATATTGAAATGCAGTTGCAGGCCATAAGAATAATTCAGGAAAGAAATGGTAAGAAACAGGAACTAAGAACTTTTCTTATCTTTTTGTTTGCTCTGACTAGACCTGACTTCATTTTTTTCTATGGCATCAGTGGGATCAATGAACTATGGGTGCAATTTTGAGAAGAAAAATACTGGCAAGGGGCCAAGAGAGGTAACGAGATGTGGAAAGAGGAGGCTGTGATAGATAGCCTCTAGTTCTGCCCTCCAGGCATCCCAACAAATCCCTGCCTATAGGAAGAGTGTTGTTGTTGTTCAGTCACACAGTTGAGTCCAACTCTTTGCAACCCCATGGACCACATCACGCCAGGCCCTACTGTCTTCTGCTGTCCTCCAGAGGTTGCTTAATTTCACGTTCATTGCATCGATAACACTGTCTAATCATCTCATCCTTTGCTGTCTCCTTCTTCTTTTACCTTCAATCTTTCCCAGCATCAGGGTCTTCTCCAGTGAGTGCTCCTTTCTCATTTGGTGGCTAAAGTATTTGAGCTTCAGCTTCAGTATCTGGCGTTCCAGGGAACAGTCAGGGTTGGTTTCCTTTAGGACTGATAGATTGATTTCCTTGCAGTCCAAGGCTAAGCACCATGAGCCAGTGAAAGGCTATGGAACTTCTGGTGTGTGTGGGGAGTTAAGTAGAGGGAAAGTATGTCATCACCTCACACAGGGCTTGGGGAAGCAATAGAGAAATGGGGGAAACTACCAGAAGATTAGTTAGGTAGTTAGGCTTTACCCAGACTTAGACATCTATAGTATAGGTACATAGGGCTCAAGGGCTGATAAAGAGGCAGGAATAGAGCAGGTATCCTGTGTTACCTTAGGGAAATATTTGTGAGGGTACTGGGGAATATACCCCAAGAGACAAACTAACTCTATTTCAATAGGCTGAGGTTCTTGGGCTTAAGGATGAATTCCAACCCCTGCCCCCATTTTCCCCTGTTCACTGACAGAAACATACTATCAGTTGAATAAAGTTGTGGGTGTGGGAAATGGCAAGGGTTTTAAAGCAGAGTTCTGCTGTCCCTTGCTGTAATAACCAGTAACTTGTTACATTGTCTTATCCGTCAAATCACAAGCATTGAGCCCTTCCAGTGAGGAGACAATATACTTTGTGTGTGTGTTGTGAAAGGAAGGCATTGGTGTGAATCACCCCAGGAGCAGGGGTGGGGGAAGTAGTAGAAATGGCCTCAGATTCCTATTCTACCTCGCCAGGCTTCCTCTGTAGTAGCATGTAATCTAGTACGGTTATTTGTTAACATTGCCTTACTGACCACTTGCAACCCATGCCATAATTACAATCAGCTGGGCCAGTAGGTGTGGAGCTGAGAAGTTACCAGGCCACCACAGAGGCACAACACAGGGATGCAAGAGGGCAGAAACAAAGGTTATTCCCTCTGTTCATCCACTGGGATTTCTGGTACCTGATTCTCCTCTTGCATTACTCTAATTTGGATAGGGCCTGTAGCAAGCACTGGAAATAGAAGTTTCTTCCAAAATTGCTGTTCAGGATTCGCTGAAACATTGCCCCAAGGTTTGACAGGAGAACAGGCCCCAGTTCATCTTTAGAAACTGTATGCCATCTGTTCCTTAATTTTAACAGGTGTGCTTCCTGACTGCTTGACAGATGGGTCTGATGCATACACTGAAATTGAAGAAGAAGAAATGAAAATACTGAGGGAGGTTCTTAGGTAAGAAGACAGTTTCTGCCTATGGATTTTGCTCTATATTCCTCCCATGGATGTGCGTACTGACATGATGACAAGAACTTGGCAAAGCCCATAACTAACATTAGCAGAAGGATTTCCCAGAATCCTGTTCACTGACATATGCCAGGGCATTATGATGTTACTGGCAGTGAATGTCACACATACGGAATTGAATTCAGTCTCACATTTGGAATGGGCATTTTGGGGGGCCTGTCATTTCGCAGTCCAGTTGGTTTAACTCTGTGTGTGATGGAGAGATGACTGAGCAATTCCCCTGGAGCATGGGGTGGCCCACAGTTCAGGACTAGGTGGCTGCTCAGCTGCTTCCCAGGAAGTTGACAAGTTAATACTTCATATAATAATTGACATTCTGTTTTTCCTAAAGGGGAACTGCTGACTAAGTTACCGCTTCGTCTAGGAATTAGAAATTGGGAGTTCTCTGAGGCAGAATTTGTGTATGTGTGTGTGCGTGAGAGAGAGAGCACGCGCACAGATTAAGAAATGTGTCACACACATGAGCATTGCATTTTGCTTTGTTTTTGATCAGGAAATCAAAGGAAGAGTATGATCTAGAGCAAGAAAGGAAAAGAACTAAAGAGGTATGTTGAGATTTAGTTGAACATGTCTATTTTTATTTATTTATTTACTCCTCTTATACCTCGCTTTTCTCCCCCAAGGGGGACCCAAAGTGGCTTTCATCATTCTCCTCCATTTTATCATCACAACAAATCTGTGAGGTAGGTTAGGCTTGACAGTGTGTGACTGATCCAAGGTCACCCAGCGAGCTCTGAAGTTATTGTGGGGATTTGAACCTTGGCTTCCCAGATTCTAGTCCAGCATTCTAGCCATTGCATCACATTGGCACTGTGCCACATCTACCATGTGGATGTTGTGAAGCTATTAGTATTAATAATAACTTCTTTTTAGAACTTTGTTTTGTCGAGCAGAGCTTCAGTCATTCACATGTGTTTATCAGGCCTTAATGACTTAATAAAAGGCCTCAAGTTGAATGCCATTCCAGAGGAGCACACTGGCAGCTGCTTGGGCCCAGCAGTGGTGGCAGAAGAGCAGCAGCTGGTATGCTCTGCTGTGGCAGCCAGACCCACAGCAATAGCCAGGGTCCTCTGCTGCCACTGCTAGGCCCAGTGCAGCCTGACTGGAGCAGCTGCTGGCATGCTGCTCTGCTGTTGCCAGGCCCAGAGCAGCAGCCAGTGTCCTCTGAAGGGAATTGGCAGTGTGGGGGAGGGAGGGATTCCCCCCGCACTGTGAGTATTGTGGGTTCACATTTGTCAATATATATTTCCTAAATTAGTTGGTATATGTGACAAATGCCTTACTTTTATACTTTCCTATTTGTCTCCTTGCTCTTAAATGTCAAGTCACATGATAAAGTGAGATCATCTGATGGTGCGCACAAATCTCCAGGACATCTGAGTGAAAGTGTAGGAGCTAAAGAACCTGTTCAGCGTGCTCCCAGACTGCCATCTGGTATGATTATCTTCAAGTGTCTAACATATATGTATTTAAACAGCATGTTGCTATTTGTTGTAGGGCAAAAAAGAATTCTGATAGTTCAGGTGATAGAAAACACAAAGCATGGCTTGTATGAAAAATGCAGCGCAAACACGGGAGGAGGAGGTCCTTTTGGTTATCTGCTAAGGCTGTTCAGACTAACAATTGGTTAGATTCTGAGTATGAAAAAATCCCACCTGCTTGCTCATCCAAAGAGAAATTTAATGGTGTGTATCTTTATGCCACTGTAACTCCTGCCCCTGATTGTGGCTGTTTTGGATGCTGGAGGGAAAGTAGGAGAGGCGAAGAAAGAGGTTAAAAAACTGATAATGAATATGTTGGAAATCAATTTGAATTTAGCACCTGAAATCTTCTTGTTAAATATTATGCCTAATGGTATTGAAAAAAATGATGTACTTATGCTAACTTACATGGTAACCTCAGCCAGAATTATATTGGCAAAATATTGGAAAACAGATAGAATCCCTTTAATAGAAGAGGTAGTATATAAATTGTTAGACATTGCAGAAATGGAAAAATTAACAATGTTATTACATGGTAAAGATGAAAATGAATTCAAAAAACGATGGTCAAGATTATACATATACATAAAAAAGCAAAACTTTTGTTAAAAGACTCCAACAATATGTATTTAATTATGTACAAGGATCTTCAACATGGTCTCTGTGCTTCACACCCATGGGATCTAGTGCGCACGCACTGGATTGATCGGCGTTGTAGCAAGCTCTTTAACGGATTTTCGTGCCCAGACCTCGGGCACGCGCAGAAACCCCACCGCGCATGCCCAGAGGGGAGGGTGCGGACATCCTGCCAGTTCCTTTCTTACTGCCGCGTTGGAAAGACCTTTCTTTCGTCGGTCTGATCGGTTCGCTATTTTTTGGCCTTTGCCTCACAGCTCTTCGGATCCCCCCCCCTCACTTTTCGTCCTTTTTCTTACTATTTCCTTGTTTGTTCTTTATAAATATGTATTTAATTATGTACAAGGTTATATATGGTGAAAAAACTATAAATAAAATATATATATAAAAAAGAAAACTCAGGGTAGACAGAGGTACTCGTAAATATGGTAGATCTTGGGGTTGGGTTCAGTAGGGGTTTTTTTGCCAGAAGGAGGACACTTTTGACACCTTGAGGTGTGTGTAATTTATTTATGTAGGCTGATTGTCCTCCCCTGTTGCAGACTTCCGCTCTGTGCCTAGAGCTGTTCTTGGGGATTCCCCTAAACTCTGGTGGGATGCTGTTTGAGGAGGGAGACAGGAAACTTCTGTGAGTGCAGTTGAACTAACTGTTCTTTAATCTATACTAGTAGGATGTAATACCGTTTCTCTCACTGAAAGTTTAGATCTTGAGGCAAAAAACAAAGATCTTTCTACCCGAGAAGTGCCGTCTGCCAAACAGAAGGAAGAGAGTCAGAAAAAAGCAATTGGGAATGGTTCTGAATGTGTCACAAAGCAAGCAGGGACTGAAGGACGAGTAAGTTGAAAGTTCTTTTTGTTTTACAATGTAGACCATGTGTAACTAACAGTGCAATTCTGTGCAGAGTTAGTTACTCCCGTCTTAATCCCGTTGTGGGTTTATACTGGAATATCTGCTGTTAAGATACTTCAACTAATACTTAATAGCTAGAATATAATTTTGGATTAGTTTTTGTATTGTGTTTGTTATACTTGTGTATAAATGCCTAGTTGAACTTAATGGTAAATTTCTATCAGTAGGAGGGTTTTGTTGCTTTTTGTCACCCCCCCCCCCACTGTAGACTCCCAGCCCCCCCCCATGCTGTTGCTGGGGGTTCCTTGCCACCCAGTAGCAGCATTTCAGGGAGCTCAATGGGCCAGCAGGGGGACACAGAAAAGTTCCATTCCACTGATGGAAGTGTCTTCCATTAGCAGAAAATTCCCACTGTGTCCAAGCTAGGAGCAATGCTCCCTCTAAGCTGTGGAGTCTTGTGAGCAAAAATTCTACTTTGTGAGCTACTGGCATTAAATTTTGAGCTAGCGATTTGCATACATTAGTTTGCTCTGGAGCCATCCTTCCTGAGCTGAGGCAAAAATGTGTGAGCCGGAGGCCAAAAAACTGTGAGCTAGCTCACACTAACTCAGCTTAGAGGCAACACTGCCTAGGAGCAATATTTTTTAAATCGGTATTTTTTGGTTCAGGTCTATTGGAATTGGAAAAAAATTGGGATTTCTGAAAAATCCCAGATCACAATACCAGTATGTTATTCAATTTTTCCTCAAATCTTTAAATGCACTAGTTGAAGTAGCCCAACAGAGGCCAGGAGGTAAAGAGATCCAGAGAAAGAAGCAGTAAGGAAGAAAAAGCACAGCTGGGGAATGGGGGAAGTAATTTGGGGTTGAGGTAGGACAAGGGCACCAGATGAGCAAAAAGGGGACATCGAAAGAGAGAGTGAGGTGTGGGGGTAAGAATAAAAAGACGTGAATGTCTTTTAAATATACTGTAGGCAGAAAGGAGGTCCCAGCATAGAAGGTACAAAGAGTAATGTCATCAACAACAGTGAGCAGAATGGGTTAGATGAGTTGAAGATGAGAGGGAAGGATTTGAGTAAAAAGGCTAAAACGTGTTTTCCAATTGTTGGGAGAAAAAGAGTTTTAGTTCTTTCAAAAGAAAGTGGAGAAAGTCAGTTGAGTGAATACATGGGGAGAAAGGTGGTGTTGAAATTACCAGCTTGTAATGAAAAAAACAATACTTGGCAGAAAAGAGCAAGGGAGAATGGAAGCTATGCTTTACCAAAGTTCCATTTTAAGAAATGACGAGCCATCCTGGAGTCTATAGCAGTTTAAGGACTGACAGGCAAAAAAGGCAGATCTGAAGATCAGAGGTATAGAATGTAGTTTTGGAGATACAAGGTGAATCATCAATCTGAGAGGAAGGCTATATGAAGTAAGAAAGGGGAGTGGAAATGAGGGAAGTGACTTCAGTTTAAATTCTGACTCCATAATTGACTCAGTTTGGAGCGTTGTAAAGTAACTATAAGAGTGTGATCCTTTGGGGGTTTTGATATATAACTAGACTTCGTAGGTGTGACCCACGTCTACCCAAAAATGCTTGGAAGTTCTCAGATCAAATTACTATGAAACATAATTTCATTCCAAAATTGACAGGGTGGTCATGAGCATAAATGTTAAAGCTAAGAGACTGCACATGCTACAAGTAATTATAACTGACATTTATAGGGTTCAGTATATTTTTTAAAGCAGCTTGTATCTACTAAAGCTTAGGGTAAATAAGTCAAAATTCTGTTGATTCTCCTTTCAAAAATGTAGGAATAATGTTGATAATGTGGTCTGATGTTCTGTGTGGTAGGATAGGGCAGATCCAATTACACAACACAGACTTGAGTTGAATAAGGAAAGCCCTGCGTTCCAGGCAAAGGATGTCACTTTTGGGAAACTGATCTCATGAGCAATGGCATACACTTGTGTTCAGAAGATCTAGGATACATTGAAAATTAAACGTGATGTGTCCTGCAGGCTCTGCTCTCCTAGCTTGTACATGGAAGCTGCTGAGAAAGGCATCAGGCAGTGTGTATGCATAAAGGAGGTGAGGAAACATGACTGTAGTGTAAATTTCCCTTCCTATATTAATGAGTCAAGATTAGTTCTTAAGACACCAAACAACACCTTTTTGTAACATATGTCTCCCATTTGGCACACTTTAAAATCCTCCAGGGTATAAACTATCTTCTAGATAGCATTTAATAACAGATTTATTGTGGTATAAACATTTGCAGACTAGAATCCACACCAGTAGAAGCATGAAGTGTGTTCTTGTTTGGCCGATATTTTTACACAGTATAAGGGGGAAAAATAAACTGTGAGGTCAAAAGGCAGCAACATATAGGATGTACAGTCCATAACATTCTCCCTCTGAGAGGAGGATATCTTGCTGGGTTTTTCCCACCCTATCCTTAGGAAAGCAGGAACCAATACTTCACCTCCTGTCCTCTAGGTGGGACATGCCCCTCAGCTCAGTTTTGTTTCTGCCTTGACAGGGAGAGCAGCAAGTAGTCGACACTCGTGCCTTATTCTAAGCTTTTTCTAATTTCCACAAATTCTACTTTCTTCACCCATCTCTGTACTGCCTTATCTGCCTTCCTCTCAACTCTCCCCCTCACCCTACCTGCTCTTATTTTCCCCCTCTTTTCATCTTGCCTGACGCTCCGGCTGGGGCATGTCGGGTCAGGAGGACTTGGATGGCTTCTCAGAGTCCGAGGGGGATGGAGCTCTCCTGTCTACACAAGACCCCACATCCAAGGGGAAAGTCATGTCCTCTTCTGCCGTGGCGGTGCCATTAGCATTACCTGGACGATCTGCTGATCTGCTCAGCCTCACGCCTCAAGTCCACTCAAGATACAGAGATCACCATCCAATGCCTGCAGATGCACAGTTTCTTGGTGAATCTTCAGAAGAGTTGTCTCGTCCCATCTCAAACCATTGAGCATTTAGGGGTGATCCTGGACACAACCCAAAACCGTATGTTCCTACCCAACTCCAAGGCAGAAAAGATATGCGACCTTTGCCAACAGGTCATTGGGAGCAGACAATCTTCTATCATGACTTTTGCCAAACTGATGGGTCTAGTCATTTCCTTCATAGACATGGTTCCCTTGGCCCAACTATATGCGAGACCGCTACAACAACTCCTGCGACCCTTCCAGCTCAGGATTATGAGACAGGACGATGCACCTATCGAAATCTCTTCCAAGGTGAAGTCCAGCCTCACATGGTGGACCAAACCACCACACCTTCTTCAGGGACGTGTGTCTTACATGACGGAGCGGAGGCAAATTGTCACAGATGCCAGTCTGCAGGGTTGGGGTACAGTCTACCTTAACACCCCAACACAGGGTCTGTGGTTCAAGGAAGAACGGAAGCTCCCAATAAATCTCTTAGAACGAAGAGCCATCAGACTGACATTTCTTCGTTTTCACACTCAAGTTGCCGGCCATCATGTCTTGATCAGAACGGACAACATTGTCGCCAAATCTTATATAAACAACCAAGGGGGCTTCAGGTCTTCGTGTCTTCGCCAGGAGGCGTTGTGGCTTTTTCTTTGGCCAGAGACCAACATAGCTTCCATCAAGGCGGAACACATAAAGGGAGCCTTAAATACACAAGCAGACTGGCTCAATCGCTGCCAGCTGCAGGAAGCGGAATGATCACTGAAGCAGGACCTATTTCAATTGATAGTGGATCACCTCGGTCTTCCAACCGTGGACCTGTTTGCTTCTCCACTCAACTTTCAAGTGAAGAGATACTTCACCAGGTTGTACTATCAAGGTGCGGAAGGAGCAGATGCCCTGACATCTCAGTGGCCGCAGGGCCTGATGTTCGCGTACCCTCCGACTCCAGTCATCCCAAGACTTCACAGAAAGATAAGAGAGCAAAGGGCAGAAGTCATTGTAGTAGCATCTTATTGGCCACGGAGGTTGTGGTTCTTGGAGCTCCAGTGTCTGTCGATCCAACCACCTCTTCGGCTACCGGTGACTCCCGACATGTTGACGCAGGGTCTGGTCTGGCACCCGGATCCAGGATGGCTTCATCTGCCCGCCTGGCGATTGAGCGGGACTGACTCCTCAGGTTCGGCTACTCGGAGAAGGTGACTAACACCATGCTGGCGTCTAGGTGACAGTCTACCTGCAGAATTTATAACACTACTTGGAAGGCCTTTGTGGGAGGTCTGGGAGGAAATCGATCGACCTCCTACACCCTCGCTTCAGGAATATCCTCGCCTTTCTTCAAGACGGCCACAACTCCAGACTGAAGGCTTCCACACTCAGGAGACTGGTGGTGGCCCTTTCGACAGTTTTACCATCCTTCAAAGGCTTGGGTCTTTCCAAACACCCCCATATCAAATGCTTTCTTAAGGGGGCGTCGGTTTGGGATCCTCCTACTTCCCATAGGTTCCCTACCTGGAGATTAAACGTAGTCCTTAATGCCTTGGCCAAGCTTCCATTTGAGCCTATCAAGGAGATTTTGCTGAAGTGGCTCAGAATGAAGACACTGTTTTTTGTGGCTGTCACATCAGCTTGCCAAGTAGCGGAGCTGGGAGCCCTCTCTGCCAACCCAAGACTCCATATCTTCCATAAGGATAAAGTCATGTTACTGCCAGAGCCTACCTTTCTACCCAAGTTCAATTCCAGGTTTCACAGGTCTCAGGAGATCTGTCTTCCTGCTTTCTGTCCGAATCTTTCCTACACACAAGAGTGCATCTGGCACATGCTCGATGTCCGCTGAGCCCTGAAAGTTTTTCTCCATTGCACCAGTGCCTTTAGGAAGTCGGAGTCCCTGTTCATATCGATCTCTCCACCCAACAAGGGGTGTAAGATGTCCAAGTCCTCAATCAGCTCTACTCTCAAACACTGCATTGCCGAAGCATACAGAGCACAAAAACGGTTCCTCCTCCCGGTATCACTGTGCACTCGATCTGTAGTGCGGCGACCAATGCGGTATTTGCTAACCGCGCCACTGTAGAGGAAATCTGCAAGGCTGCCACGTGGCCCTCAGTGTCTACTTTCGTCAAACACTGCAAGATAAACGTATTCGACTCCACCGATTTTGCCTTCAGACGGAGAGTTCTCCAGAGTTCTGGCTGACCATGACGATGACCCACCTGAATGATAAGGGCACTGCTGTAGGAGGTCCCAGCAGGATGTCCTCCTCTCAGAGGGAGAACGGGCCATTGGTACTTACCCTGAAGGGTCCTTCTCCTCTGAGATAAAGGAGTACATCTTGGGCCCTCCCGTCTCATCGTCATGTCCGCCTTTTCTATCTCTTTCTCAGGATAGTCCTTCCTGTCCCTATCCCTTCTTCTTCTGGTTACTGACCTTTTCTGCTTTTTTACAGTTCTGTTGTATTGGTTCAGTTTTCTGGATTGTTTAGAAAGTTCACTGCTTCTTGGAGTTCCAAAACTGAGCTGAGGGGCGTGTCACACCTAGAGGACAGGAAGTCAAGTTTTGGTTCCTGCCTCCCTAAGGATAGGGTGGGAAACACCCAATAAGAACATCTTAATGCCCTTAATACCCATGGCCTTAAAGATACAAGTTGTTCCCCGCCCCAAAGTAACTGTGAATGAGAAAGAAGTTGTAGCACTTGGGAGCCAAGTTTGCTGACTTGTAGTCCATCTTTGTGGAGGATGGAGGTGTTGTATACAGCTCTACATTTCATAGTTGTTGATATTACATTACATTTTAAAGCAGACATTTTAGGTATGTGCTTCAAAGAAAATTTGAGCAGTTAATGCAATGAACATGTGCCATAATCACGGGCAGAACCAATGAGGTGCGATAGATATTTAATGAAAAATTCCCAGTATATTTTCCAAATCACCTTCAAAAACACAACATCTCCTGGTGAGGCACTGACTCCAAATAGAGTTGTTTTTTTAAAATTTTAGTTGGGGCCACCTGTTCTTTGGATATATTCATCAGGGAGCTAGGAGTGGTCATGCATCTAGTTTGATTGTATATGCAGTGGCCAATGTGGTTTTTGTTGTTGCATGAAGTGTGAATAGCCCTTAGTCTGGGATTGTATTGGAAATGGTGGTGGTAGGGTGGCCTTTTTATTTTAGTAATGGGAATGCTCCTAAATTAAGTAGGCTTGGGAAACGTCAGGTATCACTGAAGTGATTGGTAGATATGAATGCATCAGACTGTTTGGCCAAGAGTGTTTGTAACTCCCAAAACTACCACAATTGAATGGATACTGTTAGGGAAAAGGTAACTATGGCAGATGTGCACAGCCTGACCTGGTGTACTACTCTCCATATTGCTTCTACACAAAAAAGTCTACTTTGGGTCTTAGGCTGCATTATGTCTCTCCTGCTTTGCTATTTTGTTCCTGGGAATGTCTAGCAAAAAGAGTGAAACAATTTTTAAGACTCCCCATATTCAACAAATCATTAGTTATCTGATAGAAAGTGTGCTTGAGAGACTATATAGTAAATGTGCCTTTTATTTTTCAGAATTTATCAGAACTTGAAGCACATGAGCTCAGAGAACGAGAAGAATACCTAAAGCAGAAGCGAGATGCACTGATGGCTTTGAAGAAAGATTCAAAAATTAATTTAGCACCCCAAAATACAGAACAGAAAGAAGAGCTGTTACCTTCCAAAGAGGTGAAGAATGAATATGTCACTTGGTTAGCATTAATGGGTCCTGTTTAAGAAATCTGTTCCCACTGAAAATATGGGCCCTGAATCTGGGGTACAGATAAGAGTCCTAATGTTTTGACCTATGCTGTTTGGCAGGAACTGGAAAATTTGTTACTGGGGTAAGGGACTAAATCCAGTCCCCTGTTCTGCTTCCCAGCTTATCAGTATTCAAGTTATTTAACTGGCGCTATATAACTACAGCCCCGGTACAGGCATTTTCAAATTCAGATAGGGATTATTTGAGGAAGGCCGCCGCCCCCTGAGTGTCTCCTAACTGATCAAGGTGATTTATTTATTTCATTTATATCCCACCTTTCTCCCCAGTGGGGGCCTCAAAGTGACTTACAGCATTCTCCTCTTCTCCATTTTATCCTTTCAACAATGCTGTAAAGCAGGTTAGGTTGCGTGCGTGTGACCAGCCCAAAGTCACCCAGCAAAACTTCCACAGCAGAGTGAGGATTTGAACCTGGGTTGCCAACATAATGCTTTTCAGTAGCTAGTTTACTTTCAGATTCTATGGCGGTACTCTAGGGCTCAGTAGTCAAAGATGCATGTGTAAAGTACCTAAGCCAACTATACTGGCACAGAAGTCTTTTTCAAAATTCCTAATTGATTTACCACAGTACAACTGTTATATACTGCTAAACTATATATACCCATGGGCACATGAACCAGTACCATCTGCATTCCCTGACTCCATTCCGTCCCTTGGTATGATCCTCAGGTCTAACTTACTGCTTGGAGACATAAAAGACAGGGGAACTTTCTTGGACAAGATGCACTTCTGTTTGCACAATCCATTGAAAAGCATATAGATCATGTTGATAAAAGAAATGAACTAAAATATTATGTATACTTTTTCTTTTGTCAGAATGTATAGGCTATTTATGTTGAATAACTTGCCATTACTTTACTCCTCATTGATTAAAATGAGCATTGTGAAACCTCACAACTTGCAAGACTACATGAGATTTTTGCCACACACATGCACGAGATCCCTAGAACATACTTGATCTTCGTCATGGTCTCTGTGCAGTCCCACACATAGGTTGGGCGCCTGCGCACGACCTCGACCGGAGAAACTTCTAGAGGTTTGCCTCAGAAAGCTTTTGGTGGGCTCTCTTCCCGCCCTGGGGAGCAGGCACATACTGTGCATGCCTGGAGCGGGAGAGAGAGCCGCCTCCCACTCAGTTTTTCTTCGACTGCCTGTGTGTTCACACCTCGTTTCTGTCGCTCCGTACTTGCCTCAGCTAAGTATACATTTCTGTTCTCTCTATTTCGTTGCCTTCCGTCCATTTCTGTTCCTCTCTCGTTACTATTTTTTAAAAATAAAATAAATAAAAAATACTTTCTTTTTTCTCCTTCTCTCTCCCCCTTTATTTTATAGTGGGTGGGGTGGAGAACGTATGGGCAAAACAACGTTTTTTAAACTGTGCCGTTATTGCCCAGCTAAACTTCCCTCAAACAGAGTTGATAGCTGTGTCCACTGTGCTAGTTTTACTGGACAAGCTTGACGTAATAGGGAGACTCGCCTTAGGGCTGTGCTTTTAGAGGCAGCCCTGCGCCCTGCCATGGCTTCAACTGTCTCTCAAAAATCAGACGGCTCTTCGAAGGCACCAAAGTTGAAATCTAAATGGCCTGACGGTAAGGCTTCCTCGAAAGTCAAGCCCTTGACATCGGCTTCGACTTCAGCTGTCGACCCAGTCGTCATTACTGGCTTAACGACATCGACCCCTGCTTTGGCTGTTGTACCTAACAAGTCCACCTTGCGGCCTCCGACACCGCCGCTTACGCTCTTTTCAGCCTCTGGCCTTATTCCGCTGGGACAATCTACGAGATCCCCTCCTGACTTGTCTTGTCACCGGGATTCTTGATCTCAGTAGCCACACTCCCGTACCCCGATCCACCATTTGGAGGGCAGGGAGCATTCTATTGGCCGCCAATCTCGATATGACCGAAAGCGTCTTATTCGTCACCAGTCGCCTTCTTCCTCGGGATCGCCTTCTGATGACCAATATTGGTCTCCTGATGAACGGGATCAGCCGGATTACTATCCGTATTATTATCCGAGGTCTCTTACTCCTCGCCGACACCGATATGATCGGCTTCATCACTTCGAACGTCATGAGCATCCACGCACTTTGGATCGCACCAGACGATCTCGGTCCGTGACTTCGGCCCACTCTGTGGCCCCTGACCAGCCTCCTGAACTCTTGAGACCTAGGGATGCCCCTAAGTGTTCTCCCTCAGAACCTGGGCTTCATCCCCCTATTGATGACTTGATACCGGCTGTTCTTACTCAACAGCGGAGATCCTCCTCTCCCATGTCGATTTCCTTTTTTTAAAAAAAAAATTTTTTTTATTGGGTTTTCAATACAATGCATACTCCTATAATATATTTTAAATAAACAATCCATTCAATTATTACCTTATATAAATATTTTCTAAACCGCAACAAGTCCACCCAGCATTACATTTTCCTTCTTAATCAATCATAAACTAGAACAATTTTTCCAGTACATGCATCCATTAATAATATTTTATATTTTCCTTTATCCACCTTATTTTCTTGAGACAGACCACTATCTAAATTTCCACTTATTCCAACAATAATAATTTCCCTACTATTTAGATTTTTATGTCATTTTAAATTAACTTATTTTTATTCTATTTTGATTTTTTGTTTCTTTTTGTTTTAATTTTCCCAATATTTTCATTGTTTACCTGCCGCCTATTCCAGTCAGGGTTGTTCTTTAAAGTCATTAAACTTTAAAAATATACTATCTAATATTTTAAACTCATTTATAGAGGAGCCAGTAATCCAAGCACTATATATACATTCCAACATTAATCAGATCAATTCATTCACATTTTCATACTCCACCATAATTATATCCCTTCATATTAATCAAATCATTTCATTTCATTTTGTACCAAACCACATAAATAAATAAATAATTACATAAATATTTTCCCCTATATAATTAATTTATCTTTTATAATTTTGAAAATTTCTTCCTATTATAATTTACTTCTACTTTTCTCTTCAGTATACATAAACCATTCCTACACTTACTTATCTCTCCCATTTTAGAATAATTTTAACATTTTTCCCCTTTTACTGCCGCCTAACTTTATTATCCCTTCCCTTGCCATACCTTTTATCTCCCCTCTTCCTTACCATTATTTTCTATGTCTTAACAACAAAACAATCAATACCTTCCAGATTACTCAATTTCTCCAAAAACATCACAAAGAGAAAAACAAACAAACAAAGAAAGGAACACCTCCACAACCATATATAAAACAAAACAATTATTTTAGTAAATCTTTTTACTTTTCACTAATCATTTCGTGCCATTACCTTTAATTCTCTCCCCTCCACTGATGCTTAACCCTAAATCCTATATTCTGATATCAATTTACTCTAACCTAGACAATTCATATTATGCACCTATAGTCAAAATTTAAAAATCCCTAAGTTCTGTAGCCTGATATCCATTTACTCTGATCTGAACAATCCATATTATACACCTATAGTCAATATATAAAGATCATATATATAAAGATCATATATTAAGTTCACATAATTTAATTTGCCTTCTAATGGCATCTGAAAGGGGAAATGAGCTAGAGGATGAAATGGATGAGGACATGTTGGTTGGAGAAATGACGGTGGAGCAGTTTCTAGAGGTTCTAAAAGAAGGAATTCAAGAGGGCATTAAAGCGGGCATTAAAGCCGCATTTGCAAGCTTACATGAACCCCGTATGTTATTGGAGAGTCCTGAGACAATTGAAAAATGTACCCAGAGTTTGGAGAGTATGGAGCAGATTTTGGAGGTTGGCCAAGAAAAGGAAGATACGGAGCTGCTACATATATTGATACCAAGGCAAAACAAGGAAGCAATCAAAAGGAGCCAAATGAAGAGAGAGAAGATAAAAGGAAAAGGAATGATGGCTAAAGTGTCTAAAGTGAAGAAAAAGTGGAAAAGGGGAAGACAATATCAATTTGTGTGGAAGGTTAAAAGGGCCAGGATGATATGGAGACAGGTTTTTTCAAAAAATATTGAGGAGAGATTGGAAATGAATTACCATCTGTGCAAAGGGAAAGAACATATTGATATGTTACTGCTCTCCCATGTCGATTTCCGAAAATTCGGATTCGGCAGACTTCGAACTCGATGTTCCTCACATCGACGATGAGCTTCAGCCCTTGGGGTCTATTTCATCTACTGAAGGCCCAAAAGCGTATTTGGAACTTGTAACCAGGTTGGCCTCCGCGCTTGAGGTCCAGGGTTCCACTGAATCCCCGGCTGTGACCGATGTTGTTCACAAACTTGTTCAGGCCGACCTCCTGCCTTCTACGGTCCTGCCTCTATTGCCGGTCCACCTTTCTGCCGTCAAGGAGACATGGGTTCATCCCGCTTCCATCCCCCCAGTTGCGTCCCCTCCAACTGTGGCTTCTCTGTGCCTTCGACCCTCTCCGCAGTCCGTGGTACAAAATCCTGTCGATCCCACCCCCTGTCGTCGACTCTCTCGTTTGGTGGTCTCATCCTTAGCACCTGCTCTCCGGCATGCCCTTTCGGCATCCTCCTCCGCGAGTGTCGATCTCCACCGATGCATCCCTCTGGGGCTGGGGAGCCCAGTGTGGGATCCTTTCGGCACAAGGGACCTGGTCTCCTCGCGAAGCTGCCCTTCACATCAATATCCTGGAGCTGCGTGCCATTCAATTAGGTCTCTGCTCGTTTCTCCCTGTCCTTCAAGGCCAGGTCATTTGGGTTGCCTCCGACAACACCACCACCACCACCGTTTACTACATAAACAAACAGGGTGGGACAGCCTCCCTTCGTCTTTGCCAGGCAGCTATCGATCTCTGGCAATGGTGTATCCACCACTCCATCATGCTCTCTGCGATCCACATCCCGGGCGCTCAAAACATAGATGCCGATCGGTTGAGTTGCTCCCAGTTTTCGGACAACGAATGGTCCATCCACCTTCGATACCTGAAACCTGTCTCCCTTGAGTTCGGTCACCCTGTCGTAGATGGCTTTGCAACTGCACACAATGCCCGGTGTTGCCTCTTTTTCAGCCACGGTCCACCATCCACTTGGTCCCTGGGAGATGCCTTTCTTTACACCTGGATGGGAACCCTGTTTTATTTCTTCCCTCCGTTTCCCTTGATCTCCCGGGTCGTTCAAAAGATTATGGCTGATGCGATGTCCTGCATCCTAGTCACCCCATGGTGGCCCGATCCCGATTTCTTCCGATTAACAGCCTGGAAGATCCTGCATTAGACTTCCCGCCTGAAGTGTCCCAAGTCCTTCTGAATGCCAGGAAGCCATCTACCCGTGCCACTTACGCTCTGAAGTGGAAGAGGTTCCAGTTGTATGCCTGTGATCAGTCCTTTGATCCTCTCCAGTTGTCTCTCCATGAGATTTTTTCCTATCTCATCTCATTAAAGAATACTGGCCTGACATATTCGTCTTTAAAGGTCCATTTAGTGGCCATCTTGGCCTACCATCCCCTGATACAGGGATCCATGGTTTTTTCTCACCACCTTACCAAGTCATTCCTCAAAGGTCTCCTCCACCTCTGTCCCCCTAGGAAGCCTTTGGTGCCTTCGTGGAGTCTCTCTCTCTCTCGTTCTCACTCAACTGATGTCTAAGCCGTTCAAGCCCATGACCACAGCTGAGTTCAGGTTACTCTCCTGGAAAACTGCCTTCCTTATAGCGATTACTACTGCGCACAGAGTAGGGGAACTAGCTGCCTTTCGGGCTGATCCCCCCTATACAATTTTCCATAAGGAAAAGGTTGTCCTTAGACCAAATCCTTCTTTCCTGCCTAAAGTCGTCTCTGCCTTTCATCTGTCCCAGTCGTCTGTCTTACCTTCATTCTTTCCAAATCCGAGCCCTCCACTGCCTCGATGTGCACAGAGCGCTCTCCTATTTACATAAGACTCAGCCTATACGTAAATCTCCTTGGCTGTTCCTCGCTTATGGGCCCCCTCATGTCGGGGACCCTATCTCCTCTCAACGCTAGTCTAAGTGGGTGACTTCCACCATAGCCCATTACTATGAGCTTGCACGTCAACCCGTTCCTACCTCTGTCACTGCCCATTCTACACGGGTGGTATCGACATCCACTGCTTTCCTGGCTGGTGTCCCGTTGGACGACATCTGTGCGGCTGCTATGTGGTCCTTGGCATCGACCTTCGTGACCGACTATGCACTCGACGTCAGAGCTCAACGGGATGCTGCATTTGGCCAGTCGGTGCTGCGATCTCTCTTCACATGGAATTCACTGCCACAGGAAGTGGTGGCGGCTACAAGCATGGACGGCTTCAAAAGGGAATTAGATAAGCATATGGAGCAGAGGTCCATCAGTGGCTATTAGCCACAAGGTATAGATAGGGGCTCTGGGGCAAGTGATGCTCTGTCTTCTTGGTGCTGGGGGGGTCAGCAGTGGGAGGGCTTCTAATGTCCTGGTCCCACTGGTGGACCTCCTGATGGTACCTGGTATTTCTGGCCACTGGCCTGATCCAACATTGGCGTCTCTTATGTTCTTCGCTTGACCCTGCTACGTCTCCAGGTAGGACCCATGGGTGTTTCTTTCCGCTAATGATGCTGTGTTTTAACCAGTATTCTGTGTCTCTTGCAGCTGCCAGCTCCCTCCTCCAACTGGTTCAGCTCTTGTAATCACCCATGTGTGGGACTGCACAGAGACCACAACGAAGATAAACAGGTTGCTTACCTGTAACTGATGATCTTCGAGTGGTCATCTGTGCAGTACCACAATCCCACCCAGCCTTCCCCACTGCTGGCATGTCCTATTCACCTTTCTTTGGCTTGATGGGACTTACCGGTAGCGGTCGAAGGAACTGAGTGGGAGGCGGCTCTCTCCCCTGCTCCAGGCATGCGCAGTACGTGCTTGCTGCCCAGGGCGGGAAGAGAGCCTGCCAAAAGCTTTCTGAGGCAAAGCTCTAGAAGTTTCTCTGGTTGAGGTTGTGCGCAGGCGCCCAACCCATGTGTGGTACTGCACAGATAACCACTTGAAGATCATCAGTTAGAGGTAAGCAACCTGTTTATTTTTTGATTGAACCTGTACTGGCAAAAGGAGACATTATGCTGCGGATAGGAAAAGATTGGTTACAGACATGTAAATGGCAACCAATATTAACTGCCATACTTCATAACTGGCCTCTTAGGCCCCCCCATCCTAAATTTCTCATTCAATGAAGACCACTTAATGCTCAAAGTTCATTCACCACCTGGCATGTTAATGTGAAAACATTATTTTTCATGCTTAAAGGGATTGGCAATTAATAGAGGCTTCAGTGCAACTTTAGTGTCAGATTTATCTTTTCAATAGAACAGATTCAAAACAATTAAACAATTGGTAGAATATGCAAATCTAACATTCCGCTTCTTGTATCTACACCTGCAAAAAACCCAGATCAGACAGGTACAGTTATCAGTGTGCCAGGAGTGGATGTAAATGTCTGCCACTTACTTACATGTACCTCAATAGCAAACCCTGACTACCTCTATGGGGTAGTCCCCCCAGTTTAACAGTGCACTGACATGTGTCCACCTTAACCTGAAGCTATTGGTGCAGTACTACTGTAGCATTAATTTCTATAAAGAAAGGTCATATTAGCTAACTTTGACTGCAGTAGTATTAAGTATTGCATGTTAATGTTTTCTTTTTTTTGTTCTAGGGACTGTCTGAAGAAGAAGAGCAAAGGGCATTAAAGAAGAAAAGAGTCCTTGCAGCAAAACTTAAAGAAGAAGTTATTAATAAGCGATAATCCAGGAAAGTTGCTGCTAAGAAGAATTTGGGGATGAGAATTACCTTTAGAATATATTTAACCATGAACTGAATTTTTTGCTTTCAAACATCCTATACATTAATTTGTTTTATATATTGCAAAAGCAGTAATTTTCTTCATTAAGTTTTAAATTAGATTAAACATTACATTAAGCATCCTGTTTAGATTCTTGTGATTTCAAATATATATATTGCTGAATGTGGTCATTATGGTATATGCTCAGTTCAATGTGAGTTTTTTTAAAGAACCTGGCATAACTTGTATCAGTTTAGCATTAAAATGGTGTTAAACTCAAATTTCAATTTTGAAAGCGCTTATATAAACCAACAGAGAAAGTATGCTGGGTTTTAAGACAATCTATGTATCTGTTCTAAGGAATTTAATGCTTTTCAGTTGAACCCAGTATGTGTTATGTATTTGTACACTAATAAGCATCTTGTCTGTGTTCACTGTGTGTCTGTTAAACAAATATAAAGCCAACAGTCGTGATAGTCTGACCCACAATCAAACAGTCATAAGACTTATAAAGAATGCTGTTTATGTATTGCAATCTAAAGCACTACAACATGATACACAACTCAATAGAAAATCCTTGAACCAAGGTACATAATCAACGTCGTCTCCGGATTACTTAACAACGTTTCAAAAAATGGATCTTCTTCAGGAGATATAGTGGTGCCAAAGCTCTCAGTGTCATAAATGTTAGACAGCAAGTCTTAAGACTATTAAATTCAGATAGAATGCTGATCTCAATTAACATTCAGGCTCAAAATATGCTGCTATGTTTCTACTGGATCCTGGGCGTCTCTGTGTGTCTGACACATACTGTCATGAGCTACAGCTAGCCCTGGGTTCCCACGCCATTGACACTTTATAGAAAAATGTAAAAAGTTATGGAGGAGGTGAGCATCCTTGCACCTTCCTGTAAAAGTAGGTATATGCCAATACATGCAAGCTTGTACTATGATTATTATTATTTATAATCTGCCTTTCTCACTGAGACTCAAGGAAAATTCTGAGTATGAAAAAAAGCTTTTAGTCCATTAGTAAGCAGATTGCAAGATAAAACATTTGAATCTTACAGCAAAGACCCCTAGTAAGACAAATTAATGAAATTAGGCTGGGGTTGTAGAACAGGGAAAAAACAACTCCCCCCCCCCAATACATATCTGTTTAAGGCAGCACGGCAATCAGTGTAGGAAAGGGTTTTTGCCTAATGAAAGTCACTTCCTGAGCTCAGCTGTTTACAGCTTTGCTTTCTCTGTAAGAATTCCCTCCCAAACAACTGTGTTTTGCACATTTCTTACTAGCCTCAGGCAGACAATTCCACAATGTAGGAGTCTCCACAGAGAATGTACATGAACAGGCACCTGCCAGTTTTTACATGTTTGTGGGGTGTCACTTTGAGGTTTTGCTCAGATGACTAGAGGATTTGCAACAGAACAGAATGGGAGAGATGGTCCTGTTGTTACATGGGCCCAATGTGTTTAGTGCTGAGGACCCCAATTTTTTTTAGCCTGTGGACACCTTGGAATTCTGTGTGGTAGGTGCAGCCACAAAATAGCTGCTGCAGCTTCCCTTCAATCACACAGTGGGTGCGTTCAGATGGGTGCCGGTTGGAATCGGTGTACTTACCGGCGTTCACACGGCGAACATCTGCCTTCCGTCCCTAACGATTGCAAAGAGCTTTAAACTGTTGTATTCTGCCACTAGGTCCCCAAGTTGTGGTATCCTGAGTGCAACGGTTGTAATCGCTTTACCCCCCCCTCCGTCTGATTGCTCTCCACCGTTGTAGAGCCACTTCCGTTCGGAAGCCCAAGGCTTCCGATTTTCGCCCGCCATTTTTTTTTAGGTCGGCGATATTTGCTTGGGCGAAGCTCTGCCCCGGCGTTTAAATAAAAAAAAAAGGTCCTTAGTTTAACGTTTTAGAGGAGTTCGGGACCTCAGGGAGGCCAGTTTGCTCTTTAAACTTTAAAGGTAAGTCCTCTTTTCAGGGCATGCTTTTCTGGACGGGGTGTTTTGCGCATGTGTGAAGATCGCCATTCTGTGGATGGCTGCCTATGCGCATGCGCAAACTGAGTTTTTTTTAAAAAAACAAACTACCGACGCCCACTGTGTGTGAACGGGCATACAGCGATGGGCTCCGCAGACAGGAGGTAAGTGTGATCGCGTTTCAGCCGGCATAAACTGCAATGGTTCCAACCGGTAGTTTATGCTGGCTCAAACGCCCCATCTGAGCGCACCCAGTGAGTGAAGATCCTTGTGATGTGGTGGCAGCTGCTGTCCAAGCAATGTATTTAAAAGCTTCAGGAGCCAATCAAAACCAATGCTCAATCAGAAGCCTTGCTGGGCAAAAGTTCTAGTGGCCCTGCCCACTTTCTAAAAACACTTGGTGGGCACCATATTGGGTACCTCTGGTTAGGTGCTTTGTGGGTTGTGTTGAACCCAGTAATTGATAAAGGAAGCAATATACAGCTCCTGCTTAGTGCCCAATAGCTGCCGTGCTGTGGTGTTCAATACAAAAAATTTCCAAGATGTCTTCAAGAGTAGATCCACGTAAACTGCATCACAATAGTCTAGCCTCAAGGTGGCTATAGCATAGATCCATGTGGTCACATCTGCAGACTCAAAAGTAGGGGGGACATTTTTCTAAGCTGAGTTGGTAGACTGCATGTTTTGCAGCTGCTTCTGCTTGCTCCTCCAGCAATAAAGCTGGATCAAGTACCACCGCAAAGCTTGTAAAACAAAGAACTGATTTACTTAAGTGTTGTGTAACAAGTGGTTAAAAGGTGAAATTCACTGAAGAATGTAGTGATAGCCACAGGCATATATGGCTTTTAAAGGGAATTAGGCAGATTTATGGAGATAGATCTATCATTAGCTTCTCGCCATTGTGACTAGGAGGACCTCCACATTCAGAGGCAGTAATAGGAGGCAACATCAGAGGAAGACCTTGGCCTCTGTCCTGTTGTTGGACTTCCAGAAGAACTGGTTGGCCCCTGCTGCTGCTACCACCACACACTACAGCATTGTTTATTGGGGCTACTAGGCAGCCCCCAAAATATTGGGTGAAATATTACAACATAGCATCTACACAGGTCCACTGTGCAGAGTTTTTTGTTCCACACTTGAGGGTCACATTTAGAATTAGGGTTTTTTCATAAACAAAAAGGTGCCAGTACTCAAGGTCATGCTGATTTCCACCAATCCCAGCCATAGGTCTTGGTGCTGATACTCCATACCAGTGACTTCTGTCACAAAAGAAGCCCCCAAATTTGGCCTGCTTCACACATTTGCATATATGAAACTAGCAGCTTCTGTAATAAGTGTGGTTTCAGAGGGTAACTGTATTAGTCTGCAGTGGAACCACCATATTTGAGTCCAGTAGCACCTTAGAAACCAAGAGGATTATTGGGGTATGAACTTTTTCAAAAGTCTATCTGATGAAGAGAGCTTTAACTCAGGAAAGCTCTACACTGAGAATTCTGTTTGTCTTCAAGGTGCTACTGGACTCAAATCTAGCTGTAATAAGTGGGTCACTAGCAACAAGATTATATTTTGTGTACTTTTCGTGAGTCTGTAAGTATTAAGTGGTAAGTCTGCCATTACCAGAACAACTTTATGTTGTTAGGCTCAGTGGCAATTACAGCAAGGATATGAATGTGGCTTACTTATAATTCAGAGCTTTTAAAATGTCACTACAGCCCCAGTTTCTGAGAAACCAAACAGCTTTCTTCTTTAAAGTTTTCAACACAATAAGGAAACAGTCCATCCACATTTCATGTAACTTTTTATTAAAATAGTATTTAACTGAGACATGTTGGCAGGTGTAATCTTCTTAAAAAATCAGTTGAGGGGCCCCAGGCATTTGAAATGTGGGCTGTCCTGTGGCAAAACACAACCAGGATATAAACTGGAGAGCTGGGAGGGGTAAAGGGAATGTGCATCTGAGGCAGATTGTATTACTTGAAAGGGAGAAGCTTTGTTATTCACAGCATTAAAGATTTCTGATCTGTTCAGACACTGGTTGACATGTCACCTATTGCTTTCATCAATTTTTTTTTTTTTAAAAACCAGATTTTTGCTATAGGAGTGACTTGTGAGCTGATCTATGTGTGGTTTTAAAGCTCCTAACAGTCTTTGAAACAGAATGAAAGAATGAGAATCCAAATGTCTGAAGATTGTTTGCAGTGACTTATTAAAAAGGTTAGGGAACAGACCAGGAGAACTTCACTCTGATGGCAAATGGTACATGCTGTGCCCCCTGGGCTTCCTCAGTGGTAACCATAGTGCTTTGGAGGAAATACCACCTGTAGTAAGTGGGGAGAGAGCAGTCTATAGCAATAACTCTGTTGAACCAGCTATATCATTTTCCTGGTCACTTCCCCAAACAAGTAAATCTCAGCTGTAAGAATGAAGAAGCCCCATCTGTGGTTGCCTGGAGCCCCCAGAGGGCAAAAAGATATGTCCTTCAGGCCATATTAACAGTCATCACAATTCACTGAATCAAATCTAGAAGCATGCTTTGCTTTGCTAGATCTGGTTCAGTGGCAAAGAATGATTAAACTGTACAAATAACTATCTCATTAAAATTCTCTAAAATGGCCACATTTCAAAATCTGAATTAACTTACCATTTACAACAAACCAAACAAAACCAATAATTATGGAATTACAGGGTCACATTTTAATTCCTGAATTTTACAGTTCAGCATTAATATCACCACATGTATACAAATGGTGTAAAACAAGTACAGTGGTTTTTTTTCCCCAATACAAAATAAACTTCTGTTTTATGGAAAAACTATACTTCATATCTACACAGACAGCCCATCTTTTGCAAACAATAGCTAAAATCAAAATTAACTACAAAAATCTCCAAAACAGGGAAACTGTCAGTAACTGCTCCAGGAGAAATGGACCCATAAACACATTACAAGAGTGATCTATAATGGTGGATTACCGCTGGTTTCATAGTCTGTATCACTCTTGACACAATTTGTAGTTTGGGGAATTTCTTCTCTCTTCTGCATGATCTCAGATCATATATGGCCAAACTAACATTAAAATATTTACAGTTCACTTGCTCTGAAAATAAAAATGCTTGCCTCCATCAATTTTACCTAATGTACTTTTGAATTTTGCTTAAATACATGGAATGTGTTGAGCAGCTGCCTCTGTATTATACCCAAGGTGCTGCATGTTGACTCTGCCTCCCAAATCGCTGTTGGTCAAGTGATGGCCACTAAATTCTTCAGCGTTCAGAACCTTCTGACAGCCTTTCATAGCATTCTGTTTCACTCCTTGCCAATGAGAAATGCAGGTGGCTCAAGGAAAACCTTTTCCGAAGCTGGCAGGGAGTGGCTCAATTCAGCTGGGTTTCCATCAAACGCTATTACTAGTTGCGACTCAGATGCCATTTCAAGGGTTTATTGATGGTTTCAAGAGTTTTCGTCTTGTTTTGAAAACAGATGATCCTTGGTATTGGTTTTCCTGGATAGCTTCTAATCATCAATTTTAACCCAGTTTCTTTTCTCCTTCCACAATATGGAGTTTTAGTGTGAGGGGGAATCATTTTGCCACTCAACACACACTATGTAGCAGAGTGTCACCCTCTCTAATTTGGCTGACTGTGCAAATAGTGGTCCCCAATGTATAAATTCGTTTTTATGGAAAGAGAATCATTTAAAAGAGGCAATTGCTAAAAAACACAATGGACAGCACCATTACGAAGTTATGTTACTAGATCTGCAACTGAAGCCTTACAATTTTCTTCTAGCTTGGATACAAACCGGGGAGCCCCTGCAATATCAACAAGTTACTTTCCCCATCCCCATCCCCTCAGAGAACCCAAGGCATTCTTTTTTTTTTTTTGCTGCAAGCTGTCATCCAGATGCTGATTACTAACCCACCATTTCAGTTTAATTTTTAACTGCCTGAATGGCAGACTCATTTACTAGAAAGAGATTAGGCTCTTTGGAAGTCTGGTATTCTCAGAACTAAACCCTTCTAGTAGAGTTTCTTTTGCTGCTCCTTGTATTCTCTTGTGTTTTCCAGGGAGAAAGCTTTCCGAGTCAGACTATTTAGCTCAAACAGTCACAGCGTTTAAGCACCCACAATTAAGAGTCTGTTTCAATACTTAAGAGCCAAGACGAGGTCTTTTTCTTGGAGATGTTTCCTCTTCTTCATCTTCCTCCTCATCATCTGGATAATCCACAAGACCAACTAAACTTCCCTGCCAAACATAAGGAAAAGCTCACATTTGAACAGAATTCCCAGAAACAACTATTGTGAAGATACCTTGTTAATCCTGAAAATAATGGGCAAAATTCAGAACCTCACAACACAGTGCCATGCTTAGTATATACAGCTGTATTCTGTCGGAGAAGCAGAGTAGGGACGCTCACTTATCCAGTTAATGCATCAAGAACTTCCAGATTTCAAAGCATTTAAGGGTTCAAGTCCTATTTCTTCACCTGATTAAAAAGACAAATATGGGGCAAGTATCTTTCACATAATTCAGAGACTATGGTTTAGACATCATCTTACCTTCCAGGGCCAATGGTATGTCTTATTTTACAGAAACAGATAGCTAGTGAAGGCTAGGACTTCTCAACAGCTACTGTCCATGACAGCTATGTGGAACCTCTGTGGCCCAAGGCAGTATATTACTGAACATCAGATGTCTGGGACAAGCAACGGGAAGGCTGCTCTTATGTGTAGGGAAAACAATGTTAGATCTCTATCATATGTACACATACGTCCCAGTTGCCATAATTTCTGGAGACCTACATGTGAAAAGGATATTGTCTAAACTGACTCAGGAACGGTTATGGAACAGTGAAGTCAGTAAAAATTTGTCTCATGGGTCAAGATCTGCTGTGCTCAAAGTGTGTCTAAAGTAGAAACAACAAATATTAACCACAACGATTCCCCCTAGGAACATGACTGACTGGCTATTCACCTGTACGCAGACATCTGTAATATATACTCAGTGGTCAAGACTGGCCCATTAGAAGAACATGCCAAATCACAGATTACGAAATGCTCTCAGCATTTCTGCAACCTTTAGGAAATAATCTGAACCACAACATGGAGGCCACTGAACTTCCTTAATATTACATGGACAATAGCCACATTGGGTAAGTATATTTTAAATGCGTTAACCTGCACAATCTTACTAGAAATTCAAATGACTGAAACATTGCAGGTCAAAAATTCTAAACAGCAGGTCATCTCCACACAATGGCCACCCCAGTAAGGTAAGTTCTGCTTTATGTTTTACATTCCCAAAAAGTTAAACTTTGGTCAATTTCAGATACAAACTACACAAAGTTATTACTGAGAAAATTTTACCCTCCCCCCGTCACCTCATCTGAATGTCTGGAAGAATTTTCCCACCATAGTTCTTATTTGAAAATCCATGCATCAGTTAGCTCACCTTTGTGGCTGTGACTGCTGCAGTCAAGTTGGCATTCTTTGAAGAAGAACCATTTGAGCTTGCTGGCGATGTCTGAGCTGCTACAGATTTACTGTTTGTACTATTGGCTCCATTAGTTGCACTGGCAGAGTGGGAAAAGGTGAATTTGAAGCCGCCCGCTGACGTCCTTTTGGGGAGATTCTCTTTGTCCTCACTCTCTTTTGCTAAAAGAATTTTTTTTAATGTTCAGTATATAATTGAGAAACTAAAACCTCCAGGGCACACACAACATAGAGAATAACTAGCATTTTACTGTTTTTTGCTTAACTTTGCATCAGGACCCTGTCACAATTCAGACATGGCAACTCCACAAAACATATTCTACTCATGGTGGGCATAAGAAAGTTTCTCAAGAGGTAAGCTCACTCTAGATGGCAGCCTGCACAGGCGTCCTCGGAAGCTTGTGGTACCACTGCAGCACCCTCCCACCCAGTATGAACTGGTGGTTCCACAGGAAGGTGACAGGACCACTGCAATCTGTGCAGATGCAGTCTTGCAAAACTACCACCAGGATGACATATGACACAAATCTTCCTGTATAATTTTGCCCGATGTTCAATTTGGGATATTGTTTTTGGTCAGGGAATAGATGAGTTTCAAGCCTGGCACTGAGGATGGGCGTGAAGACCACAGAAAAGAACTGAGAACTGACCCAAGAGCCCTCACTCCCCCCCCATTGGAATTTACATATTTATTTATTTGAACTTTTACCTCGCCCTCCCAACCAAAGCCAGCTCAGGCCGGCTTACAAAAACAAAGATCCAAATTCTAGTTTGGCTGAATCTGTCTACATTGCTTTCCTGTTTCTCTTGGTAACCCTAATGGAAAGAAACTGATTTCTTGAGATTTTAACACATTTTAAAAATTCTTCAATGACAATGGCTACGTTGAATCTCACATTTTGCAAATATGGGGAAGAGGTCTTTTTTGTACAGTATCTTAATAAAATACCCTTTTTGGTTTCCATGAACTTCTCATAGCTATCTGGAAAATCATCCTCAGACTTTGATTTCTCTACAGGGGGTATGACAGCTTCACTCTCTTCCTCTTCATCTTCATTGAACCACATTTCCTCATCTTCCTCCAAGGCTCTTGCATCTCTGCGAAACCTGTTGCTACGCAATATTGACGGGACACTGCAAGACATACCGTTTTATGATGAGGAAGAGAAATGTTGTCAGAAACACTTGGCACTTTCAGATTCACACCCATATTTTCAAGATATGCACATACCTGTTCAATTTCTGACTTTGCCGGTCTTTCTCTTGCTCATATTTTGTCTTCAGTCCTTTGAATGTCTGAACGTATTCAATGGATTCAAGTGCCTTATAAAAGTTTTCAACTATATGTGCAGTAAGTGACTTGATATCTTCCTGCATCAATACAAAAGAAAGTCTATTGCTACCAAGCTGGAGGAGAAGCATTAGTATGAGCTCATCGCTGCAGTTTAGTTTACTGCCGCCCTTTCGATTTGTCATAAAAAGGATAAACTAGGCTTGGAACTTGTTTACAATTTAGGAGCCTCCCCCCCAATATGTGTCTGCATAGACAAGGGACTCCAGGTGATTCAGGCACACATGTTTTTGAGTTACCCAAAGAAATGGACAGAATACTTAGGTATGCAGGGTACTTTGCACAACAGGGACAATAACACTGGTATTGTTTACACGAGCACATCCTGGATAGAGAGTCACAAGCCTTGCCCTTTACTAGGGTTCATTCAGTTTCAATTACCCTCCCATTCCACTCTTAATATGTGGAAACAAACAGAATGCTCAAGAAAGCTACAAGGCTATTTTCTAAGGATAGCTGGCCCTTTCAGACTGCCGTTGGTTGGTGAATACCAGAACCTTCATGTGACTCTCCAGTGGTGCTCTTCAGGGTTTTACGGAGCTGCCCGATTTTGTCGTGCGCACTATGAACAATTGATTATTTTCATTTCCTTCAAGCCTCAGGGCAGCATACAAAGTTTCCCCCTCACAATAACTCAGATGAATCTGAGAGTGCATGACAGGCCCATGGTCAGCCAGTGGGATTCATGGTTGAGTGGGGATTAGACCCCCATATTTCCATGGTCCTTGTTTTAACCACTACACCACACTGGCTTTCCAATGGAGATATCTGGGTTGGGGAGAAAGACTTCTCTCATGGCTTTCTATTAGGCTGAAACCTTCTCCATTTTCCTGCAGATTTAAAGAAAAGCCAACAATGTTGTAAGCCAATGAACCTACGGGACAGAGTGGGATTTTACAAACTAACATAGAATCAATTCTATTCATGTTGTTTTAATACAACTGGAAACATATTAATTTATTAACTCTGATTTCTATTGTAACTGAATGCCCCCTTTCCTTATGGAGTTGTTTGTCCAAGGGGCTACTGAAACATGGATACAGTTGGACAATATACAAGATGTCTGCACACAAACAGTTGCTATGAGCACAATGTAGTGAACCAGCTCATATTGTTCAAGTTTGATAACATATTCACAAAAAATCAGTCTTCAAAGTGAAAGCCAGATCAGATCCTTTCCTCCTGCACTGAACGGACTTTTTTCTGTAGAAATTAAACGCATTTATATCCCACTCTATCCGTATAAATACTTCTTCAAGTTAGCTGTGATATCAAAGGAAGAAGCGGGAATCTATTCACAGAGACAACCAAAAACACGACTGGACCCTGGCTACAACCATATGATCCTCAAGACATCCACAGCATTTGGCTGTTGGAGAGATTGCTTTCTTGAGGTTTCTAGCAGTGTTGGGAAATAAATGAGCAACAGCACACATTTTGAGACGTCTATGGCTAATACAACTTTTTCCAGTGGGAGAGAACATTACTCTTTTTTATTCTAAATAGCTCAAGCAGTCATATTCTAGGATAAATGTATCTCCAATATTTATTTTGTAAACTTTATTTATAGGCTTTCTTGCTAAGGCTCAAGGAAGATTACAGAATATAAAAGAAGCAGACATTAGAGAACTCCAGCTGACACTGCAGTAGGACTAGGATTACAGTACTGGACAACAGTGCAAATAAAAGATACAACAACACCGTTTAAGGCATGACATACCATAATACAGAAAATTGATAACAAAAGTAGAAGGATGATATGTACAAAAAAACCCTGCGAGGGTCTACAGACCTATCCCTTATAAAGCGACCTCCTGCGCTTTATCTAGACATTCTGCACAGAAAGGCTACTAGACAGACACTGAAGAAGCTTTTGTCGAATGCCACTTCCAAAACAGGGCATGAGAACTCAGCAAGTCTGAATTCATATTCGTCCCTTCCTAGGTAGAAAGCAACATCTGACCACATTCATCTGTATTTAGAATTCCTTCTGAATCCACTCATTATCTGTCCCTTGACAGATGAGTTTCTGATGATTCCTAGAAGGCAGGGAAGATAGAGAATGGGCATGCATAAACCTAATACTCAGTCCCTTCCATACATTCTACTTAGTAAGCCGCCTTAGGCAAGTTCCCTGGAGAGGCAGCATAGACATTTTCTAAATAAATAATACCATCTTCAAACTGTTTCTCAATATGTTTCAATTTGGCTCCAGCTTTTTATGTACCTAATGATCTGAAGATCATTATCCATTTAGTCATAATACTGAAACTAACTCATATATGCCGTATTGTTAGGAGATAAAAATTAGAAAGCACAACTTACCACTCTGATGAATTCAAATAGTTCAATGACGGCTGAATTCAGCAGATTGTACCTAGTCCCATTATCCAAAAGAGCATTTATGACTGGCTCAAACAGGTTTCCTTTGGTGATATAACGGTTATAAAATTCATCCTTTAGGCCAATTATCCTCCTCATGAAACGAAGAGCACCTACAATATTAACGAGTGTTTTTCATTTCCTCTGACATTCTCAAAGGCATATTTCACATCTTAAAAGTTATTCTCCATATAACTTGCATTTCACAATGCACACAGATCAAGCAGATTGGTTCATTTCCATTGGTTTAATGCACAGTGGTAAAAAGGCAGAACATGGATATGCGGAACTTGTGCTGGCAAAAGCAAATGTGGAATACAAAATTCCAGGAACTTGCCATGGAGGAGCCACATTGAAATGACAGGGAACTGACAAGACAGCGCATGTGCTCTTATGCCAATTGCAAATTCAGTAGAGATGAACTCAAATTATCTTTCCTTTCCCAAGCTGCCCATGTAATGTGCTGTGTCAGGTTTGGAGATGGGAAGTCCTGTTCCCTTGTGACATCTCCTTCTGAGTGGCCTTGGGCAAGTTAGCTGCCAGCCTACTTCCCTTCTTACTTTTTAGGTGCCAGGTCAAAGTGTACCTGCTTGCCCAAGCCCTTTCACTCAATTTTATTCAACAGATTTCTGATGTGCTCTTTTAAAAAGAGTATCTGTTTCCCAACTTAGCCCATCTGTTGTAACGCTACGTTGCTTCTCCGTTCCTTTAAAAAAGAGTGTGTTTTCAGCGAAACGTTTTATTGATTCAAAGCACAAATCAGAAACAGTTTTATATTTCTCTCAAATTGGGCTTTGGAGCAGTTTCAGTCCAAATGAGGACAGGTGTTTGTCCTTAGATCAAGAATCATCTTAACACTGGTTAAAAATCAGTCCTCAAATATGACAAGAAGAACTGTACATGGCTTCATGTACACCCTGCATGAATGCACAGACCAAGATGAGTTGAAGACTTGCAAGAGCTGTGCTAACTTCTGTATTGTCTCCTACTTTGTTCAATGTATTCCAGTCCAGCTAATCATGGGGCAGAACACAGATACCGACGCCCCATCCTCTAACAACTGAAAAACCTTACTTCAGCATCATTTTGCACTTCAGATTTGATCACGTATAACACACACATTTTTGAGGGCAAGAAAAACATTTTTTAAAGGTTAAATGGAAGCACAGACTCAAGAGAAGCCAAATTCTGCATAGACTACTGTTCTGTATTTTTTTTAGGGCACTCACAAAAACTTGAGTGTATAAGAGCTCCAATTTGTTTGTTCATTATGGATAGGAACTACTTCAAGATGACCAGCATACACACAGCACTACCACAAACTTTTCATATTAGAGTGTGTGCATACTTCTTAAACATATATATATCTACTTACACAGTGCCAAAAAGGTGTGTTTAGAGTTCATCAAGACCAAAACTCTTCTCAGCAAATCCTTGTTCATAATATAGTTCTTGATGTGATATGTGTGGTGTTCCACACAAAAAGTAAGTAGTTCCAAAATTAAGGCAAGCAGCTGTGCAGTTTGATAGTTGTCTGCAAAATGAAACAGATCAAATCAGGTATGAAGAAGCCTATGAACATTTCTGCGTTCATCACATTCGTTACACAGAACATTAGTTAACATGTTCTTCCTTCTGTTAAGCATATGAAACTCATATAGCTCTTTACCTTGAAGAGGAACTCTCAAATATGAGCTGAGATCCCAGGTCTGATATAACAATTAGTGTAAAACATGTGATGGGTCCATTACAACTCATTCAACACAAACTGCGGTTTCTCCAATGTTTTTAAAATAGTTCAGCTGCCTTTATGGTGCTTCAAGATGCAGCAAATGCACATGTAAAGCTGTCACCTTATGTTTCAGAGTGCTGAGAAGACTTTGCTGAAAGCTGCCACTCATGCAGTATCTCCACATGGAGAACTAAATTGGTCCACAAGATCTTCAGTTCCCTGGGTTATAACTTGGTTTATAATACAGTAACTTGACTGTTACAAAGTTTTCCAATTTGCTCCTGTAAACTGGTACTTTGCTGTTAGAATGGGGTGCAGCATCTCCTGAGAGGATCACCTGCCCAACCCTCCCCTCCCTATTGCAGCACTCCATTGTTTTGACTCAGCTGTGGAACTGCCTCCCACATTCTGTGGACTCTGACTGGCACTTAACTTCTCTCCAGGCCCCCCCCCACACAAAATAAGCAATTTTGATTGCCACTCTCACTACAGAGTTGAGTGTCCCCATATCACTTGTGTAACGGAGGGTCACCTCCCTTCCAGGGAGCAACTGTGGCTCAGTGGCAGTGTATGCAGAAGGTCCCAGGTTCAGTCCCCAGCACCTCCAGGTAAAAAGTTTTAAGTGATTTGAAAGATCTCTTCCCGAGACTATGGGAAGCCACTGACAGTCTGAGCACACAATACTGTCCTTGATAGACCAATGGCCTGATTCAGTAAGGCAGCTTCATGTGTTTAATAGGATTCTGCATTAGGTGTTACAAAGCGAGAATAGCTTAAGCATGAATATCTTTCACAACAGCAGCTTGAGGGCATATTCATACCACAAACTTAAAAACATTTTAATAGTCATTCCCTTGCACAAGAGAACCCGAAGAAATATAGTTCTGTGGGGAAGCCCCAAGAATCTCCACCACAGAATTCTCAGCACCCCACTGAGCACCCATGATTCTGCAATAAAAGCCGTGACAATTAAAATAAATGGCAAATATAATTTTGCAGTACAGATGTACCCCATGTATCGCCTGGGAAGGCTTAGACAATTTTTCACTTAAACGAATACTGTTGAGCTAGATAAGTTAGTGCTTATCTGAACAATAAAAAGGCGTCAATTTTTTTGTACAGAATAGTATGCAAAGCTTTATTTACCCAATTTAATACAAAAGATGGACTTTTATGGCATCGTTCCAATTGAAAGCATTCTCCACAACTGTGTAGCTGTATCAAATACAACCAGAACAATTTTTTTGCAGGTGTGTGAGTACGTGACTCAGCAGTACACAGCTAACAACCTAATTTTCCAGAAAGGCTTTTCTTATAACTACACACAGCATTTCAAGCTAAGTTTTAAAAACTGTATAGAAGGTATCCACTTACCTGGGCAAATTGTATTACTCTTGTTGCTTCCAACTACTGTGTCTTACAAAAAGAAGAAGATTAATGTCAGCTTAATTACTGTAGCAAAATATTAAGACCATGGCAAGATACATATATTCTGTTTCAAGGCTAACCAATGTATGTATACGTCTGTATTAGAACTCATCCACCGGGGGGGGGGGGGGGGGGGGCGCACAGCATCAGGTGCCCAAATTTGCTTGCAATTCCAATCCAACTACACACCACTATATGTATTTGAAAACAAGGCATATGACAGCAGATATACCAGTGAGCACCATGCTCAAGGATGCCTCAAAAAGCAGCTGGGTGAATGAGCTCCATTTGCCAGCTGAGGACACAATTCATTCAATTACAGGGGGTTCTTTTCTATGAAAAAAACACTTATAAGGGAGTAAGTCTTTAAATACAAGCAAAAAGAAATCTTGAGAGTCCTTAAAGACATGGGTTTATTCTTGTGATGAACCATAGCATGAGATCAAGTGAAAACTGCTGAGAAGATAAGATATTTTAGCAGAGCCTTTTGTGATTCCAATGCTTTGTATACAATTCTGTGCTGTAACAGCAGAATTCCTACATTTTCAGAAGCATCAGCAATACACTGGGACCATGACTTTTTCCAAAGGGCACTTAAAAATGGATCCAAGGGGTTGGAAGAAGAGACAGACCTTAACAAGCCACTTTCTTTGCTGCTCTCACAACACCTAATGCCACACAAAGTCCTCCTATATATTGTACTCGCCATCTTAATTTTTCACGGTTAATAGAATTTTGACAGATACTATTCACTAAAGAATCTGTTTTACTGGGTTTTTTTCCCCTACTCAGTGGTATCACAGGTGTTCTAAGATCCAATTTCTATTCCTGTGTACATTTCACAAACCACATGTATGCCACAGTAACATTAGCATCTCCTACCCTGGTTTTTATTAGAAGTATGGAATAACTGTGTCATGAGGACAATGAACTTTAGCTATAAGACTTGAATTCTATATTGTTTTAATGACCAGTTCAAAACTTTCTCAGAAGATTCTGCCAAAAACATTTTTTAGCGCTAGGTATCAAATGTATCTTCCTATTTTATATCCTTTTCAATTGTATAAGTTTTCTGCTTTCTATCCGTTTAATGGCATGGAACCCTGACCTGGATGACTCAGGCGAGCTGGATCTCATCAGATCTCAGAAGCTAAGCAGGGTCGGCCCTGGTTATTATTTGGATGGGAGACCGCCAAGGAACTCCAGGGTTGCTCCACAGGGGCTGGCCATGGCAAACTGTCTCTGAATGTCACTTGCCTTGAAAACCCCATTGGGGGGGGGGGGGGGGGTCACCATAAGGTGGATGCAACTTGATAGCACTTTCCACCACCACCTATGCCATGTAAATTTCTGACCAGGTTTTCACAAGAAATCAGTTGCTAAGCAGTACTCTGCACACACACACTTGTACCCTACATGCCTCAGTCTTTTTGATCAAAGATCTGAGAATAACAACATCTGTGGTCTTGGGACTCATAAAACATTAATTCAGGCAGCACAATAAAAATATATTACTCTAGCGAATGAATACCTATGCCAAATGCACAGTACACAGATGCAGACAAGCAAAAGAAAAGGCCTGCTTAGAGGTTAACCTTACCTTTATCACTCTTATCCTCAGATGTATTTGCCAGAAGTGGAGCTGTCAGAACATGCATACAATGGTTGTAGAAGAAATTGAGAAATTCACTTTTCTCAGTTTTCTGAAACAAGAGATACTAAATATCGTAAGTCACGCAGCTTATTCGTAGAGATAAAAAAGAAATGAGACATATTGTTTTCAATGCCTGTAAAATGTCTACTTAGAGATGAAAGGAACCATTTCTGCTGAAACAGCCACTGATTTAAATGGCTAGTAGGTTTTGCATACACTTGCGCTGTATGTGTAGTGCTGGGTTTATTTACATTATTTCATGCACTATCACAAATGGAAAATACAACATATCCTTAATTTGTTGCTGTAGCCCCTTGGTGAGGTTCTTAGGCTGAAACACAGCAAACCCCAAACACTATTCACTACACCACACTGGAATGCACAGTTTTTATGGGTTGTACCAGATGGACAGTTAAACTCTGCTTCATTAATGGGATGGAACTTTCCACCATGCTCCAGAGTTCACAGGACCCCAGGAAGAGCGACATGTAAGGTACTAGAAAAAAATCACACTTTCCTCAAACATGACCCTCTGCTGGTAAAAACCAAATGCTGAACACAATCCACTGTATGTATTTTATCTGAAGCATTTATACCTTGCACGTTCACTCTCAGCATATAGACTCCCTAGGCAGACTCCCTACATAAGAGCAGCAAATGTTCATGCACACAAGCTCATGGACCAGGTTACATGCCACTTCCATTCAGAATCCAGTGGGGGCCCATATTTACATGCCATTACAGAGAATGCCTTTCAAATCCCTTGGCAGCAGACATTTCTAACAGTAGCTGCGGTAGCAGAAGTCATCATCTGGGCATTGCATTTAGTGTGCAGGGGGGATAACAGCATGCCCACTACTGGAATGGTGCCCATCCGAAGGCTAAGCTTGGTGGGCTAAGCTTAAGTAAATTACAGTCTGAAGGCAATGTTTGGATGTACCATGAATTAACTGTAGTGCCACACATTTGAAAAATCACACATATACTTTAAACACATTGACATCATGCTGTGGGAAAACTTTCAAGTGAAATTGCTATTCCTACTTCATGGATGAATGAGTGATGGATTTTTTTTAAAAAAATTCATGCTTCAAAATGTCTTTGCCTGAAATGCAAGAGCACTGTGCATTTTACAAAAAAAGTTACAAAGAGTGCCAAAAGACAGGTAGATTTTACTTAATGTGTTTCTTAGACAGTAAAGTTTCTTTACCCCTTTCCATTTTCTTACATTAGCTGTGGCCAACATGTTCTCAGGATCGATTAGTGTACGCAAGAGCCCCATTAACTGAACAGCACCACCAAGCTCAGGGTCAGTATCACAGATCATTTGCTCAATTACTACATTTATGAGGAGGATATCCTGTAACAAAAGCAAGACAAATTAGGCCGGTGGACCTTAACCATTAATCATCTACCACCCACCAACTATGCAACATTACCTTCAAGTACACCTCCCCCTGAAGCTGCTGTTAAAAAGTCAGCACCACAAACAGCTCTCAGAAGATATGTGCATACAACACACAGATTTCAGACACACATTTGATGTGAGACCCTTGTATCTGATGACCAGCTAACTCCTTAGAGATTCCTATTTGCTGAGTATCTGGAAAAGAAATCTAGGATTTTATCCCCAGGGAACAGTGAGCAGTATAAAAATGCTCCTCTGTCAGCTGTCAGAAGATAATAAAAAAGATGATTTCAGATGATGGTCATGATAGCCACACAGTGCCATCTCTCCCCTCCTGTAGAGCCAACAATGCCCCTTGATTCACTGAGCTTAGGGCAATCAAAGGACTGGACAGACAGAGGGAGCAAGTGGAGGAAAATGTGAATGTGACTGAACACAGGTGAGAGCCCATTATTGTGAATATTAAGTGGTGGCAATGGCAGCAAATCTCATTTCTCCATCACCACTGTGCCAGTGCAATGCCATCTGGTACAGATTTTCTAGGTTGTGAGGGAGTGTCTATCTCAGGCCCCTGAGAATGTAGACCAGGAAAACATACAGGCTCATTTTAACTCTTTTGCAATGCAGTTTGCATATAAAACGGATCACATGCGCTGCAACTTAGATCACATGTGCTGCAACTTAGATGTCATGGTAAGTTCAGTTCAGTCTCAAGAGGCTGTTGGAGTGCAGCCTGATCCTAGCAGTATGGACAACTTTAAGCTGGTGAGGCTTGATGAAATGAACAATGTGCTTAGAAGCATGCAGCCCACCACATCTAGGCATCCCTGGTCCCAAATGGTCTATGTAATTACTACCCAGTAGCCAACATTCCATTCTTTGGCAAAGCACTTCAGGAGCTGGTGGCTTCTCAGCTTCAGGTGGTCTGGAAAGGCCAGACCATCTAGATCCATTTCATTCTAGAGTGAGGTGGTTTGCCATCATCTACCTCTGCATTACAACCCAGGACTTCCTTGGTGGTCTGCCATCCCAATACTAACCTGGGCCGACCCTGTTTAGCTTCCAAGATCTGATGAGATTGGACTAGCCTGGGCTATCCAGGTCGGAAACAACAGATGTAAAACAACAATAAAAATCAATTTTAAAAACACACCTTATGCCTCCACAAGCAGGGTATTCCCCCTTTGCTAGGCTGCCCCCAAATTCTCGGGAATAGCTCTTTTTTGCAGCTGCACCAGAAAGCAAAGAGGTAGAAACTCTTCTTGCCTAGTTAAGATTCTCTTTCCAAGCTCTGCTATGTGCCCCCACCTGCACAGGTGCAGTGGTTGCAGACTTAGAAGCAGGGCTTTTTTTCCGTGGCAGAACCTCTCCTTTTGAATGTCTTACCTCCTTAAAGCTCACCTAGTGCCTACTTCACTGTCCTTTAGGCACCAGGCCAAAATGTTTTTTTACTCAGACTTTTAAATCAAAGTATATAATCTTTTAAAGCTGTTCTTACAGTCCACTTCTAGTCTGAGGGCTGTTTTATGGATATCACTCAGGCTTAGTGTTCATTTTATGTCCTTTTAATATGTAGTTTTTATGGTTTTACTGTATTTGCTTTTACTTTGTGAACTGCCTTGAGGATCTATGGAGATGTGACATACACATTTCCTAAATAATACCATTCCAAATGCCCCCTATCTGATCTGTGTCCTTGGAAATGCTAGCATAGAATGAAGTTAATGTTTACAGTTGTAAGTACAAAACCAGGATGTAGTTGTGATATTTGTTTTCATCCTTTCATTTTCTTGGGGCATCATACTAAGGCTGCTTTTGGATTAGCTAGTGAATGCGACTTGAATGTTAGTGTTCCGCTGCTGGATCTTCTGTGTTGTTTTTTGTTTTGTAATTGCCCTAGATTAAGTGATAATTTTATTACTGTGGCCAGCTTTAATAGCACGCCATAGCAGAAAGCTAACACAGAAGTTCTAAAAGTAAACAAACCATAACTCCATCTTCATATAAGTATGCAATCTGGACATCAGCACCCCTATTTCCCTGGCAGTTACATGATTGCTGCTGTAAAATTAAATAACTTCTCATGACACTCCAAATTACTGATCAGAATACACCTGTAGACATGTTGTCTCCAGAAGAGTGTCTTAGATATACACTCTTATCTACCGAAGAAAATGAGTATTTTGGCTTTTTCAGATGTTAACATATCACATCAGCTTGCTGTGTATCTTTCTTACATCATCACTCTGCTGGGCTTCTTGCATCACAAATTCCCGGACCATGGATGGACTGAATTCTACCAGATAAGAAAATATATCTGTAGCAGCAGCTCTAACTTGCAAATCATCCATGCCCTGAAATGAAAATAAAATCAAGTTGGAGAAAATGAGACATTTTGGATACAGCAGCTACCATGGAGTCTTCAAATATGGGGAAAAAACCATGGGGCTGGATTCCCAGAACCATATGGCATAAGGAATAGTGGTTCCTTTTCCACCTTCTCTTTTCCTTTTAAAAGTTACTGTTGGGGACTTCAGAGGACCCTCTGGAATGCAGTGGGATGTAGAAGAAGAAGAAGAGGAGGAGGAGATTGGACTTATACCCTGCCCTTCACTACCCAAAGGAGTCTCAGAGCAGCTTACAAACTCCTTTCCCTTCCCCTTCCCACAACAGACACCCTGTGAGGTAGGTGGGGCTGAGAGAGCTCTGGCATAAACTGCTCTGTTTCAAGAACAGCTCTTGTCAGAACTATGGCTTGCCCAAGATCATCCAGCAGGTGCAAGTGGAGGAGTGGGGAATCAAACCCGGTTATCCCAGAGTCCGTGCACTTCACCACTACACCAAAGCATGGCTGGCTGCTGCTGGATGGGGAAAACAGAAATTCTTTCCCATCAGTATGCTTGGAAATTGTTTAAATCTGTAATAATGGAAGCTCAAACAGAATGTATACCACAAATTAGGAATGGCAGCTCCAAATCTAAGAAGATACCAGCATGGTTTTAACCAGCTAAGGAAGTTATAAAAGGAAAGGTGGCTTCCTTTAAAAGTCTTGCCCAAACAAGGTGAACAAGAAATGAGTACAGGTTCTGGCACAAGTTGATGATAAAGCAAGCAAAATGAGAACAAGGAGCACATTGCTAAAAATATTAAGACAAGAACTTTTTTATATACATCAGGAGCAGGAAACTGGCCCATGGTGGTCGCAGGGCCCTTGAACAACAAAGGCATGGAAAGACGGTTTAAAAAAGACAAGGAGATTGCAGAGAAGTTGAACTAACTATATGCAGCAGTTATAGCTGTGGAAAACATGGACCACTAAGCCAAGCTGAGCTGCTGTTTTTGGGAAAGTTGCTGGAAGAACTGAGTCAAAACAGAAGTGATAAAAGGTCAAGTTCAAGGGCTAATGCCCAAATTAAAAACGAATGAATCACTGGGTCCAGATGGCATGTACCCAAGGACTCTTAAGCAACTCAAATGCAAAATACTATTCCTCTCTTAACAAAAATATGCTATGTTGCTAAAACAGGACTTCCTTCTAGCAGGCTGTCAAGTAATAAATGCATCACTGACTTTCAAGCAGGGATCCCAAGGTGATGCATGTAGTTATAGAATGATTAGCCAATGTTTATTCTGGGTAAAATGATGGAAACTGTTATTAAAGATTGCCAGCCAGGCATTAACAGAAAACTGGTATAAAATGTCCTTCAGATGGTATAGAACACCAAAGGATACTGAGAAAGTAGACAAAAATTACAAAGGAAAATGCTGGAAATGCCAAAATACAGATGGGACCTTTTACCATATGTGATGGACTTGTAAAAAAGCAAAAAAAATACTGGAAGGAAATACATGGAAAAAAGCAGAACATACTAAAATTTAAATTCCCTATGGAAGCTAAGAACATGCTATTAGGAATATTGCCCAACATATTACCAAAAGTTCTGGAAGAGGTATTCAAATATATGGTGACAGTGTCTAGAATCATTTATGCAGCAAAATGGAAACCAGACAACCTGTCCAAGCTTAGAAGAATGGGAATATAAACTTGCCATTTATGCAGTAATGGCAAAATTAACAACCTATTTGAGAAATAGATCGATTTTGAAATCTGAGGAGAGATAAGAGTGTTTATTACGCAAGCAGGAGGTAAATTTAGAATGGGAGGTTTAAAATGGTATATAAATGTATTGCTATGCATATAAATGTATTACAATGCAGAAATAGAACGAGAACAAGTTTTAAATATAAAGGTATAAGGAAGTGGATTGTGAACAAAAATATCTACAATTTTTTAACTTACATATGAGATATATAATAGACTTTCCTTTAAGCTTCGATATATTATAAGTTATAGCTAGTGTGTAGAAATGATGAAATATGTAACAGAATATGTAATAATGATGAAATTAATAGTATACTTACAAAATAGATCAGTTATGAAATTTGAAATGCAAAATGTTTGAAGTAAGGATCATTGTATCTTATAGAAAATATCTTAAAAACTATAATGAAGGGGATGCTGGGGAGAAATATTTACCTTTTCTGTTCTATATATCCTGCAATCTACAATAATCTTGATATATATGTTATATAATTACTCTTTTTCCTTTTGTATCCCCTCTATATTATATTTTACGTTTAAAAATTATATCTATCTGTATAAAATAAATTGTTATTAGAGATAGAATGATTACAAAAACTGAGAAACACATTCTATAGAGAAAGAATGGCTTCTGTAAAGGACAGTTCTGTTTCATCAACTTCTGTGTTTTTTTAAAAGAGGGTTAACAAACATATGGGCAAGGGTAACTTAAAGGTACTATATAACTGGTCTTCTAAAAAGCTTTTGACAAAATCCCCCAAGAACAACTCCTGATTAATCTTAACAGTCAAGGAAAAAGAAGATGAGACTCCTCACAGATTAGGACCTAGTTAAACAACAGGAAACAAGAGAGTTAGGGTAAATGGACTGCTGTCAAGATGAAAGGAAGGAAACACTGGGGTTCCACAAGGAATGTCCGATATCATAATAATAAGACCATATTTGGAACAGCATGTTCAGTTCTTGTCACTGTATCTCAAAAAGGATGCTGTAGTGCAGAAAGGGGCAACAAAAATTATCAAAGGGTGGGAATACCCCACCTACAAGAAAAGCTAGAGAGTTTGGTGCTTTTAATTTGGTGAAAAGACAAACAGGTGGAGACATGATAGAAGTCTACAGAATTATACATATGGTGGAGGCAGTGGATAGAAAACGTCATCCTCCCTTCTCCCATAATACTGTAACTCAATGGCACCCAATGAAGCTGATGAGCAACTAATTCAGGACAGACAATGGGAACTACAGCTTCTCTCAAGAACAACTTAATTTGTAGAATTCACTGCAATGGCACGTAGGGATGGTTACGAGTTCTACTGGTTTTAAGAGGGATTTAGATTAATTCATGGTAGAGGAGACCAACTGATTGCCTTTAGCTGCAATGACTAAACAGAACCTCCGATTTCAGAGGCAGTAATCTTCTGAATACCAGTATGTGTGGGGGGCAACAACAAGAAACAGCTGTACCTCCATGCCCTGGCTTGTTGACCTTCTGGTGACATTTGGTTGGCCACTTTCTGATACAGAATATAGGATTACATGGTCCACTGGTCCAATTTACTTAGAAAACTAAGAACTTACTGGAAGCAAACTAGGCAAACCCTGTGATGACAAAACCAGCTGAAGACTGTATCCTACAAACCTACAAGCTGTGAGGACTATTCTTCCTCCTTGCTGCTGCCCTGGCCCCGTGCTTGGTGGAGTTTTGTCTGCAAAGCTCCACCAAGCCCCAGTCGTTTCAGGAGCTGCTGAGGGAAGGTGGGAAAATGCCTAGCTCTACAAGTTCACTGAAGCTTGTGGTTCACAGAATTAAACCCTTTAAATTTCCTCTCATTTGATGCAAGACAGAGGAAATGACAGTTCCTGCTACTACAGTAAAAAATCATGTTTTACTTCCTACCAGGCCTCTTGTTTCTCATGCTATATATGCTCTGGACAATGCATTTCTGGATAACAATGCAAACAGCTGATATGCACATCCATGCATATATAGCAGCATACCACAGCTCACCATGGTATCTACATGATACAATATTAAAAGTTTAGCACTAAGTTATACATACAAGTTTGTTATAATTATATACACAGATTTGTTACAATTCAGCTAGAAGTTTGTTTTTCATTCTCAGATGGGTATACTCCCAGATGTAGTGCTGTCTAAGTTAAGATATATGCAGCTATCTAGTGCTGATTTCTTTCAAAAGCATCAGATACAATATTTTACATAAACAGTCCCAATTATCAGAGATTTACAGAAGGGTCTTTAAAGTCCCAAATACCTCACAAAACATTAAAACAAAACAAAAAGCCTACAGCATCTCCTCAATTCTAGCTTACGAGTTTGACTTACCATTACAATTTCAAGAGCAGGAAGAATTCCTAACTTTGCCAAAGTTTTGAAAAAAGTATCTCTGTTCTGAGGCTGCAGTGTCTGAGAAAATGCACAGAACTCCTTGAAAAAGTTAACCTGTAAGGTATGAAAAATAACACAATAAGAAGTGGGACACAACCAGTGTTCCTTCTAAGCTGAGTTAGTGTGAGCTAGCTCACAGTTTTTTAGCCTCCAGCTCACACATTTTTGTCTTCGCTCAGGAAGGAGAGCTCCAGAGCAAACTAATTTATGCAGGAGCCAAATCGCTCGCTCACAACTTTACTGCCAGTAGCTCACAAAGTAGAATTTTTGCTCATCAGACTCCACAGCTTAGAGGGAGCATTGGACACAACTAATAAAATCAGTAATGCAGCTAGAGATTTTAAAAAATCTGAATGTATTTATTTACAAAATTTATATCCTGCTATGCTGCCAGATCAGGACCACCAAGACAGCTAGTTTTACCTGACACAGAACTAATTTTTCAAGTGAGAAAGGCAGTACCACTGAAAGAAGATATCTTCATTTTCTCCCCCCCCCCCAACACCTGTATTTATTATTTATTTATTACATTTGTATCCCACCCTTCCCACATGCGGGCTCAGGGTGGGTAATATCAAACTGCATATACAATACAATCAATTATCAGATTAAAACATTAAATTTAAAATTTAGATTAAAATAGGTTTAACTAAAGATGCAACATCTCTTTCTATATTAGCTCCAACAGCTGGATAAATGGTAATCATGGGCTGCTTTGCAGGGAGGCCATGTGTTTGGATGTCCGTTGCCTCAACCGAAGGCCTGGCAGAACAGCTCCGTTTTGCAGGCCCTGCAGAATTGTAATAAGTCCCGCAGGATCCTGATCTTGTGGGAGCTTCTTCTACCAGGTGGGGGCCAGGACTGAAAAGGCTAAGGCCCTGGTTGAGGTGAGATGGACATCCTTTGGGCCATGGATAATCAGTAGGATGATCAACAGAGCGCAAGGCTCTCCAGAGGGGTATATGGGGAGAGGCGGTCCCTTAAATATGAATACAGATGATAATGTTAGGACTAACATCAGGAGCTTTTGAAATACTACATCATGAACAATTAAAACATTTATACTCTTACTGCAGCTATATCCTATGAAATTTAACAAATGTGGTGGAATTTAATTGATTATTTTGTGATATAAGATTTTGATTGAATAAGACTACAGTACTACACTGAGAGATTTAAAAATATGGAGCAGTAAAGCCCACTGTCTGGAAAAATGAAAAGAAAATATCTAAGCATCTGCTAGAACCAGTTTGGTGTAGTGGTTAGGAGCATGGACTCTAATCTGGGAGAATGGGATTTGATTCCCCACTCCTTCCCATGCAGCTGCTGGTGTGACCTTGGGTCAGTCATAAGATCTCTCAGAGCTGTTCTCTCAAGGGCAGCTCTTGAGAGCTCTCTCAGCCCCACCTACGTCACAGGGTGTCTGTTGTGGGGAGGGGAAGGGAAAGGAGATTGTAAGCCACTCTGAGACTCCTTGGGTAGTGAAGGACAGGCTATAAATCCAATCTCTTCTTCTTCTAATTTATTTTACAAAATTTATATCCTGCCTTTCTGCTATCACAAGGGTCACCAAAGCAGCTAACAAATTAAAACATAAGTAAACGTTATATTTTAAAACCAACCAAAAAGAGCACCACCACGTTACTAAAACAGTTAAAACTAGAACTGAAAGATAATTGTGTTTGTTATTTTGCTTCCATGATGCCCCCTGCCCCCCGCCCCATTTCCACACTTCAAGTCTCACATAAAAAGTAACAACTAAAATCTCTGGCTGCCCAAACACTTCAAGCTCCAAAGCTGTGTGGTAGAGCCCATATACAGACGATGACTGTGGGTCATTTCACACATTATGTAGCAGTAATTCTGAGATTGCCATGCAGACCAAGAAACTGTGGCAAATGACACATTTTCTAAACATGTATGGCTCATCATGTACATTTTAAGCATACACTTAAGAAAACTGGGATTGGGTACAACAGCTTCCTTCCTTAAAGTAAGGATTCTTCTGCTGCAGGAAGTTTTCTTCCAACAGGAGGCTCCTCACGTCATAGAAGGCAGCCAATGGACCCAACTCTTAAGAAACCATTTGAGTGACTTATATTTATCATATGCTCTCTTTCTGTTTACTAGCTTATCTACTGCAACACAGGTCAAATTAAAGTTCTATACATATTATACCATGCTTAAATTTGGGGTATTCTGGTTTAATATCATTGCATAATCCAGCCTGCTTCACACACAGACCCTCTGAATTTGCTATGCTAGTACAAGTTCCTTAAAAATGAGCAGAAACAGTAGCAGAAGAGCTGGAGGAACACAGTACAGATTTCTTGCCTGAATCACCCATACCAGACTTACCAGCTCACGCCTTTTGTCATCGTCAGTAGCATCATCAGTTAGCTGTGCAAAAACTTCAGACAAGAACTTTTCATCTTCCTGCAGGATACAATAATTGTTACAGATTGTGTCATAACTAAGAAACCTATTCTCATAGCCATTAAGGCACAGACAAACCTGGTTTTGTACTATGTTGAATATTTGGCCCATATATCCTGTTCTTTCTGAAAAGCAGTGCCTATGCTTTCACCTTTCTCCGAGAACAGAAATTCTCCTTTTTACTCTGACTTCCCCACATTCCACTTTTAGGAAACATAAAGAAAGAAGGAGAAAGGAAATTGTCAAAAGTTGTCAAGTGAGGGGCCAGGGAGGCTCAAACCAGCCTACAGACAATCACTAGCCAGTCTCTATGGTAGTACTGTTAATCTACAATATGGAATCTCTGGTTAAACATCTTTGTATGGCCAAGTGATATGATCTGAGGTTCTGGAAAGGTAGATTTGAAGACATGCGTCATACTAGACAACATGCACAAGAGCTGAACAATCCCTGGTCTCGCTCTGTATGAAGCAACTACCTGATTACTCATTGGGTGGTCTTCTGCATGGACAACAGATCCTACATATCCCATCCCATTCACATACATGACCTTGCAATGAAAAACTGAAAAAGATAAATTAAAATAAGATAGCAGAATAATACCACAAGCAGAGAGGAGAAGTTAAAAAAACAACAAACCTGAGTTCAAAGCAAAATGCACACAGGGCAGATAGTTTCAGGCGACTGAGCCAGCACTCTACCCACATATACAAACACTATTACATCTGCCCTACTGAGTGTCTTATGTATCAGTCTGAAAGATGGTTTACATGCTATTCAACCTCCACTTTGAATAGCTTTAGCAATAAAATCGGATACTCTGTCACTCATGAATGCAGCTAAAAATCTACACATGCCTCTCACCAAAGAAATATACCTTTGAGTTTAAGGGATTTAAGAACTCTACTTTCAAACGAGCAAAAAATAGTTATTCACTCTAGTAATGAAAGAGGAATTCCCAACCGGCATAGTTTGATTTTAGAATTGCGGAATACGTCATCTTAAATCTCTTGCTAGCTGTCCAGCATTAACTGCCAACCTGGCTAAGAGTCCAACCATGACCAGACTACAAAACAGTCAAGAACTGGGAGAAGGAAAATTGTCAATTCTTTTCCAAACATGTTGCAGGCATAGTACAAGAAATCCATATCCTCTCTCTCTGTAACACTACTAAGAGAAGTGCAGGTTAGCCCTTCTAGTTCTTTCAATATCTCATTCTGCCAACTGTGTGATGAGCCAACAGCAGCCCACCATCACAAGGAACTTATGCTACTGTTTACCAATTTCCAAACAACTGCAAGCTGTTCAACTACCCATAAGACAGTACAGCTATGCTAAGCCAAAGTGCAGATGAAGCATGCTTTGGAGCCAGATGACACATTAATTTGTCATAGATCCATTTCCTGCTTCCCACCTTTTCCCCAAATAGCCCACAATCTCATGCCTGCCTACTCTGAGTTAGAATGCTATTTTCAGCATTAGTCCAAGGTTTAGAAAAGCATCACTGTTGAAAACTGCCATAACATACACATGAATGCCTTCCTAAGTACCCTCCATACAATATCTGCCAAGAGTTCCTGACTGTGTCATCTTGTTGCCACATTCATGACACATATTGGAGGGGCATATCCCACCATGAAGTCATTGTATAAGCCAGATGGCAGCCATTCATTTAGCTTAACAACAGACAGTTGAGACTCTCTCCCATTTTGATCAGCAGTATTCAATTACACTGACATTTTCAAGGAGGAAATTTCCAAGGTACAAGTTTTTTCCCCATTTGTTGACAAATAATGATTACCAGCTAGCTATAGGTACAAACATATTGGGTTGAGTGTGAAATGATAAAAAAACTGATGATTTCTATTCATTGTTCTACCACTATAAGACAACAAAAAATATGTTCTTCTCCTCACTTCTCCACAACACCACCCAGAGTGTTATTTCTACCTTAGTCACTAACAACTCAAGTCTCAAATTAATACTTTTTTGTGTAAAAACCTTTTTTCTTTATACAGTGGTTAATTTTAAAGTAAAAAGATGAAAAATTAGGAAAAGAAAAGGTGAAGTGCATGTGCATGTCTTGTGCATGAAAATACCCAAGACTCCACAAGCCAATCCTGTGAAGATCTGAATATATTGCCACAATTTAAGGAGGTCAGAAGTACGATAAAATAATCAAAAGGAATACTGTTACTTGGTTCTACATCTGGGCAGTTCATGTAGCAGTGGAGATTTACTTATTATGGAAGAAAAGGGAACAACACTAGTCCCAGCCAAATAATGACCACTGATTTCTCAGTGGGCTGTTTCTGCATAACAATTTTTGTAAAACCCTTTTGTAAAAACCTTGGAAAAAACCATAAACAACATTACAAAAGGGTAATTTTTGCAAGACTGACTACAATGAGCAAGGCATAAGCTTGCAAGATGTATCTATGACAACAGCTCTAAAGCTCTGCACTTTTTTCCTGAAAGAGACGAGGATACTTTTTAAAATGGCAAGTCAGCAAAGGCCAAAGACCCAAAGAACCCACAATTAGTTCCATGTGCAAAAGGGGCCTTGGAAAAACGATCTCATATAGCAGCAGCATCTGAAACCAAAATGAATTTCAAAAGTTTTTGTAACATGGAATTTGGAAAGATCTGCTATTCAAAGGAGAAAGTAAAAAATGCCCACTGGCATAAACAAGACCTTGGGCTCATTTCTAAAGTAGTTCTCTAGAGCAATATCTTACTCATGTATTACTGCTCTTTTTCACTTACTGCTACTCAGCTTCTAGTTGGAGAGATTTGCTCAATGCCAATTCATTTGAAATGTGTCTATTTAGGTCCCTGCAGGCAACAAGAAACCTCAAAAACACACCAATTTCATTTTGCCACAGCAGCCGCAACAAAGACCAAAATAAGTGAGTAGTGGTTTCCAAAACACGGGTGTTGGCAACCTTTGGGTGTATCTTCTCCATGTGTTTTGCTCCTGGAAGGCACGGGTCAAGGAGAAGGATGGTGGAGGCTTTAAGGCCTAACTCTTCTCTTTTTAAGGCTCATTATGTACACATTTTTTAATTCTATTCCAAAGAACCAGAATGAATTGGAACATATAGACTATCCCATTTTAAATATTAACACAAAACAATTTAAAATGTAAGCAAGACTAATGTCTGCTAAAAACTCTACCCAATACCAATTTAACCTCTACCATTAAAATAACAGAATTATGGAACATTCCTAAGAACACTTTCCTGGGAATAAGATCCACTGAGTAGATGTGCTTAGGAAGGCACTATTACTTGTGCTTTCAGGAAATGCACAAGCAAGGGAAA